TATATATATATATATATATATATATATATATATATATATATATATATATATATTATATATATATATATAAACACACAGTGGCCCAACTCCCAGGTACCTATTTATTAATAGGTGAACAGAAAATTAGGTGAAAGGAAACGTGCCCCCCCCCCCCGGAGATCGATTCCTGGACCCTCAGTTGTGAGTCACGAACGAAGCCACTGTGCTACTGTACCTAACAGTACATTTACAAGCCAAATATCAGTACCGAGATTTAAGACCCTACAAACTGTTGAACACATTGAACACAACCTTACTGCCATCAACATACGAGTTATAACACTCATCTAGGATTGAAATAAGTAAGAGTGCGCAGCTGGAGGCGTAATAGTGCCCCGGCTGGAGGCGTAAGATTGCACTAGCTGGAGGCGTAAGATTGCACTAGCTGGAGGCGTAAGATTGCACCAGCTGGAGGCGTAAGAGTGCGCCAGCTGGAGGCGTAAGAGTGCGCCAGCTGGAGGCGTAAGAGTGCACCAGCTGGAAGCGTAAGAGTGCACCAGCTAGAGGCGTAAGAGTGCGCCAGCTGGAGGCGTAAGAGTGCGCCAGCTGGAGGCGTAAGAGTGCGCCAGCTGGAGGCGTAAGAGTGCGCCAGCTGGAAGCGTAAGAGTGCGCCAGCTGGAGGCGTAAGAGTGCGCCAGCTGGAGGCGTAAGAGTGCGCCAGCTGGAGGCGTAAGAGTGCGCCAGCTGGAAGCGTAAGAGTGCACCAGCTGGAGGCGTAAGAGTGCGCCAGCTGGAAGCGTAAGAGTGCACCAGCTGGAGGCGTAAGAGTGCGCCAGCTGGAGGCGTAAGAGTGCGCCAGCTGGAGGCGTAAGAGTGCGCCAACTGGAGGCGTAAGACCAGCGCAGGAACACCCCCGCATAACACACAAGTACGACAATCTGTACTAATAAGGGAAGCAGGAGAGTTTCCCTCCATTGTTGACTTGTCCAGCAGGCCGCGCCAGCCCCAGACTCTAGCATTGTTGCCACGTCCGGGCTAAACCCTCTCCCTGTCTCACGCCTCCTAACAAACATTAATGTAAAAAATCTTTGTTGTGGCCACTGATTCACAAGCGTATCTCAGACTCGTAGTCACAGTGCTCCACGTAGCGCATAATAACGCGGCAAGAAGAACGGTTAGGGATAAACATATTTTATTTGAATTTTAATTTTGAAATTTGAATTTGATATTAGTCCATGTTCGTACATAACAATATATTGGTTTCTTTATCCTTGCAAAAAAAAAATCATATGTAAACCGTATAAATTAATTAAGACTAAGCAGAAGGGAACCTCGACCAGGCCTCGACCGTAGGCCTGGTCGAGGACCGGGCCGCGGAGATGCTAAGCCCCGAAATCATCTCAAGGTAAGGGGAATGCTTAAATATGCTGTAAAGTGGTAAAATATTGTTCAGTCAAGTTAGTGAAGATTAAATCAAATTATTGTGAGAGCGAGTGTATTTTAGCTGGTAGGTCGGTATTACTGCCTGTGATTGGTCGCTTCAGGATTACTGCGAGCGCGTAATCAAGGGAAACCGGGCTCTAAGGGGGGGAGGAGGGGGGGAGGGTCGGAATTCTTGGGAAATAGCTGGCACGGGCCCCTCCGGAACATATGATACATGGCGAATGAGTCTTTCCCATACTTCTCCTGCCTCTGTTCACTTAAGAATCTACTTTTGTTTACAAGCTCTGTTTACCCTGGTCCTGGGTTCAATCCCGGGCGCAGGCGAGAAACAATGGGCAGCTTCTTTCACCCTATGCCCCTGTTACCTAGCAGTAAATAGGTACCTGGGTGTTAGTCAGCTGTCACGGGCTGCTTCCTGGAGGTGGAGGCCTGGTCGAGGACCGGGCCGCGGGGACACTAAAAAGCCCCGAAATCATCTCAAGATAACCTCAAGATATACCCATTTTTGTACTCTTGTATTTGTATCCCTGCTATGGACCTATCTTTAGTTCCACCCCCTCCATCTCTCCCCCCCCCCCCAATACTCCCTGGTTCAACGTGCAAAAGGAAATAAAAATCGTTGCAGTTGCTCTAACGAACCGTCACTACCTAATGAATATCTAATTAAGGATGACTAATAACTTGCGAATTGGCCCTAATTACGCTCAGATATGGACCTAGCGCTCTGGACATATCCTTCGCTAATGTCTTATTTACTTGTTGCTCGCTTACCGATGCAAGCTGATAGCTGATTGGTTGCTTGTTTACAAGTCACATCGTACTGACGGCCCATTCGTTAACGTATTTTGAAACCTATCTAACCTTACCCATTCTACTGTAACCTAGCCACTTTTAAATCAATCGGACCTAATACAGCCTAACATAAGCTGACACAGGCTAACCTAACTATATACAAGTTTTTGACAATTAGAAAAAGAGCTTTGTCGATCTGACCACCGTTTAAATGTGCAATGTTATATAGTTTTTCTCTTTACAATATTGTAATACTCTTCACGGGTGGTATATTTTGCTTAAACTTATCGTGACCCGTTCGTTTTAATACCTTAAGTTTGTGTTCTCCATTTATGTATATATTGAAAAGGCTGATTAGTAACTAAATTTAGCACAAAGGCGAACTTTAATTTTTTTTTAAATATAAAAATATGAATGGGGTAGAAAAACAAATAAGAATCTCAACCTAACCTAGGCAAATTTATGAATAATTTAAGTCTAGATTAAGTTATATTAGGCTTAGGTCATTCTTACATTAAGTTAGGGTTATTTTCGTTCATTTCTTCAATTATTTTTCTTTTTCCAGTTCCTGTTTATGATTTTTTTGCACTACAATGGTCCGCCTCTTACCTTGGCCCCGTCACCATACTGGGCGTCACTTACTGTATTATTTCCAATGTTAAGTGGTAAGTGAGCATTGTAGCAGTCCACTCTCCACTTATTGCGTATAACCATTCTAATGCATCTCTGATTATATAAACGTTGTTTGTTTTCCATTCGTCTTAATACACCTCCGTTACACCATTTGTCTTTTATGTTGATACCGTTCATTGATGAGAAACATCAGTTGTAATTAAATTTACTTTGCTTTATAAAATAATATTTCGTGCAGGCGGAGTGAACTCTTGCAACAGCTGGGAGTGAGATTTACACTTAGTTCACCTTGTGTTTATCACGTGTACTGACGCAGTCATTGGAGACAGTTGGTAAACAAAATTACACGTGGCTACGGCAACGCCTTTAATACTTGACCCGATGCTAAACACGTCTGTGTCTAGTGATTTATACTCCATGAGTTGGGGGTACTCGGCGGTGCTAGGGTCTCACTCCCAGTCTACGTTTTCTCTCAGTCTCCCCCTCTACTCTTCTTCCCATCTTCCCCTTCTCCAACTTTCTCTCTCTCTCTCTCTCTCTCTCTCTCTCTCTCTCTCTCTCTCTCTCTCTCTCTTTCCCTTCCTTTAACTCCCCCCTCTCTTACCTTCCAAGTTTTTTTCTACCACAGACGTGGCCACACATTTGCAATGCTAACCAGCATATATACATTTTCTTCTGTCCTCCATGGACAGGGTTAGAGAAGTGTTAAACATATAGTTCAGGGATTTATTGAACAATCAACCACAGAAAGGTGATTCGGTGCTTTTAAAATGCTAAGCTAACCTACATACGTAAATACATAGTTACACATATTTACGTATGCCCTACATAAAGTGTTCGATGTGTCTTTTACATAGTATCATTAATGTGCATTTACAAAGGTGATATGTAATTCTGATCAGCTTCCACATATATATATATATATATATATATATATATATATATATATATATATATATATATACATGCATTCACATACATTTGTCTCTTTTTACTCTGACAGGGTGAGATAGCTGATAAACTAGTTTGCAATTAAGCAGTTAATCACTGAAGGTGCTTAAGGTCCTTCCAAGTGCTATAGTCGTAATGGCTTGGCGCCTTCTCCTGATAATTCCCTTCCCTTCTTCCCCCCACCTCCTCCTCCTCCTCCCACCACTCACCACTCACCGAGACAATCATGGAGGAGGAACAAGCCAAGCTACTCCTGGTGCTCAGAGGACAACTTCCTCTCTGCCCCCCGCAGTCGACGACTCTGAGCGGCAACGCATTAGTGAGATCGATGTTCTTGGGAGACGGAAGGGCCGGGGGATGGTGGCGGAGGTCTCCGTTTTGGGGGAGTAGCGACTAACTGCCCTGGAGACATAAATGGAGGAGGTCCCAGTGGACAAATTGACTATTTACAGAAAGAGAAAGTAGAGGTAGTGGTCTTACTAGCTGTCTGGTTTGTGTAACTCTGATACCAGTCAATAATCGTACAGTTGTGGTGAAATATGGAAAGTTGTTTCAGTATGCTACTCTAGGTTTTCCCGACAACTTTGTTCGATATCTTGCCATAGTCATGCATTATGACATGGCATTTTTTCCCTTTCGTATTAGCCTATTCAACAAAAATGCGTTATCTGTTTTGTATCACTTTATTTTCTATCATCTCCTTGCCTACCATCAAACATTTCCTGTCATCTCGTTTTCTAAGACTACTGCATCAATGTGTGTCTAAAAATGTACGGTACATGTGTAATATTATATAGCTGGTGTGCGTATGTTTAGCCTTAATAAACCCGATGACAACCTCCAGGGCTACGGACATGCACTATGCACAAGAGACCCAGAAAGGATAACGTACGATAACAAAAATAGTGAAGTTACGATATCGTAATTTATAGTCTGTTTTAATTTTACAGTCTTCAAAGGAGCTTGTCGTTTATAAAATAAATATTAACATACTGCCAGGCTTAATACTTGAAAATAAACGTAACGATGATAATATACTTTGCAACAATATATGCATTAAAATTATTTAAATTGTTTAATATATTAGTGGCTTGTCATTCAGATGATATTGATGATACAAGCAACAAACAAGAACAAAGATAAAATGAGAGTAAGAATAGACTGAGGCAATAATGTTGTCTAACGCAGCCTTCCTCCCGCAGAATGGCTACCCGGCCAGACGACGCTCCCTCGTCGACGACGCCAAGTTCGAAACCACTATCAACAAGCAACAGAAGCAGTCGTGGATAGAGGAGGCCCAGCGACTGTCCCGCGGTAGGTCAAGCCGGGTGGATTACCTATGGATTACTGTGGTCACCTTTATGTGCTTGAAGCTCCTGGGCCCCGCGCCTTTCAGCCACCGGTCACTTATTGGCTCCAGACCTTCTTGCACTTATCACACCACTTCTTGAATGGAGTTGACCTCAACTACCTTACATCTCAACGTGTTTCACTTGTTCACTGCTCTTGTACCGAGGTGCTCTCTCTTATGTCCACGCCTCCCGTCATGTTCCAGTTATCACACACACGTAGTTTCCTTTCACTACTCTTCATGCTAAACAAAAATTCAACTTTGTTAATGCTGCCAAGTATCTACGATCATGTCGCCTCTTCGCCGAGTGGTGAGGTCAAGTTCTCCGAATCTTTCCTCGTAGCTCGGTCCTCTGATTGTGGGATCATTATCGTAGCAAAGCTCTACATTTACTTCATGCATTTTTTTGGTTGGAATTCCAAACTGGGGCTAGATATTCTTGTACTGTTTATACATGGAAGTGTACAACGTTCTTAACGCTTCTTGGCTTATGTACCTGCAGGTTATACCAGTGTCCTCCAGCTTTATGTGGCTGATGTTATCCTGTTAATGTGTTTCCAGTGACAGGCTTCACTATATATCTTTTCTAATTTACGGGACGGGGAGGTGGCTATGCAAGTAGCGGCAGGTGTGGCTGTAAAGATAGCGAGGTGAGGCTGCAGGGATGGGAAGATGGGGCTTCAGGGATGGGGCTGCTGAGATTAAGTACGTCTTCAGGGTTTAGATAAATGAAGGACTCGCCCCAAGTAGCCTGCCATTTGATAGAAGAAAACGAGACTACGGATGTATTGAAGAATTGAGAATAGTGTGCAGCAGAACATAGTTGTTGATGGTGAAAATGGAGGGTAAGAAAATGGAATGATGAAGTATCCTCGACCTTGCAAGATAGAGGGACGAAGTGTGATGAAATGGTTGGCGAAGTATTGGAAGAAGTCGAGGAATTTAATATCTGAGACCGATATTGTGCAAGCATGAAACTTTGGAAGAAAAGTAAGAGAGAGCAGTGGAAAGGATAAATGCGGCCCGAACCTTCGAAAGGACTATAGAGGGTTCACTAAACTGTTCACTAAATGTGGTGTAAGTGTGTAAAAACTATAGCCACAGGCATGGTGGGTGGAGCGAGGGTTTGGACTGTAGGGAGGATTGTGGGTAATGTGATTATAAAACAACAATAAGAGCAGTTAGAATAACTGACAGGCAATTAAAATTATCGAGATTAATACGTTAGGGACATGACGAGAACAATAGACCAGGCTACAAGGTTGCATCAGAACAGTGGTGCTGGTCACTTCTGGCGAGGCCTTTCTCACGAAGCGTTATCATGGACCTCCAAAACGTCAATAAATATATAAAAGTACAAAGATTTTCAAGTTTATTGTTAGAAAAGTTCAATGATGGTTTATTATCGTGTTCTGTCCTAATGTGTTGAAAGCGGTGTTTAATGCATTTTCGTATATTGTGAGAACACTTAAAGTTATCTTTCACTGGTCTCTTTGCATGGTTTTTGTGACGCGGTTCGTGTTTGGTAAATGCCCTCCTGTTACTGTGCACCTCTTGCAGCCATTAGTTTAGCGGATGTCCACCTTCAGTTCCAGGTTTACGTAGGAGAAACAGGTTCCTCCATTACAGTAGCAGGTCTAGTTAGTATTATCAGTGAGTAGCAGGAGTAACAAGTTGCTCTCTTACAGACGGGGAGTTGAGTGAGGAGGAGGTCTTCCTTGTGCAGAGTCCTTGTGAGCCCGATGTCCCCCAGCAGGTGGCTCTTGTCCTGGCCCTCGTCGACGGCATCGGCTCTCTTCCCAGGATCATCAAAACCATCGAGGTAAGAGGGGAAGTAGAGGAGTGGGTGGGAGGAGCCGTTGACCAACTGCACCTATCAAGTCGACGCAAAACCAAGACAATTATGAACTATCAGCTAAAGTCAGAACCAGTAAACAAGCCGGACGAGATAAGCACCGAGAGCGAGGATGACGGCCCATTATTCTCTAAGTCTTGCTTGATTAGCTGAGGAAACGTGGTATAATATATTTGTATTATATATTATGTTCATTTATTTACGTTCTGACATTCCCGCCCTCGAGGTGGACCACGAAGTGAATTAGGCTACCATATACTGTCTACCTTTGACGATTACCGTCATTAATGTAACATCATGCGAGAAAAAGTTACAATCAACAATAAAGAATTTATTGGCCGGGAAACACACAAAGAAATATTCCTGTGCTTGGGTTTAATAATTCGTTTTGTCTTGGACAGGCAACCTGTGTATATATATATATATCTACCCTAGCAGTTAGGCTTATATCGAGGTTCACCCCCAGCACCACCCCAAGGTCCAACTACTGACCCCCACAGGATGCAACCCCACAAAAGTTAACTCACGGGGACCTATTCACGGCTAGGTGAATAGAGGCATTAGATGAAAGCCAACCCTTGCTCAGGCCAGGCTCGTTAAACTGCGACCTCCCCCTCACAACGCGTTCATCAATTGTAACTTAGTGTATTAAAAATAGGTTTGTTCCCATCTGTATAGTAATATTATATATTAAATTTCTATGAATAGTTAGGCTTAGGTAAGGTTTGGTGTTTAGGTTTTTCTGGCGATTATTTTTATTTGAAGTACGTGGGTTAACCATTTACCAACCCGTCATCGACTCAAGTCCATTACATCCAGCGGTCGACCCCACAGACGCATTCATAAATTTTTACATGCTGTTCATTCAAAACGGGAATTTTCTCAAATATAAATTAATATTATAATATATTAGCATATTGGGCATATATAGGCATAGGATAGGTTAGGTTAGGTGTTTAGGTTCTGTTGGCGATTACTTGTATTTCAACCCATCCTCGACTCAAGTCTATTACATTCAGCGGTCAACCCCACAGACGCATTCATAAATTTTAACATGCTGTTCATTCAAAACGGGAATTTTCTCAAGTATAAATTAATATTATAATATATTAGCATATTGTGCATATATAGGCATAGGTTAGGTTAGGTTAGGTGTTTAGGTTCTGTTGGCGATTATTTGTATTTGTAGTACGTGGGTGAAGCATTTATAGCGTTGTGGTTCGAACAAAATTCGTCAGTGAAGCACTTGTTCCGGATATGTTCGAACGTCAGCAGTTGTGAGTCGTGTGTAAACCACTTTTCATTCATAAACAGGGGGTTTGGCGGGTGCATGGAATCACTTTTGGATCTTTGTTTGGAGGACGGGCTGGTTTATGAATGGAAAACAGTTTACACACGACTCACGACTGATTTCGTTAGCACACTTCCGGAACAAGTGGTTCACTGACGAATTCTGTTCGAACCACAACGCTATAAATGCTTCACCCACGTACTACAAATACTAGCCCGTCCTCCAAACAAAGATCCAAAAGTGATTCCATGCACCCGCCAAACCCCCTGTTTATGAATGAAAAGCGGTTTACACACGACTCACAACTGCTGACGTTCGAACATATCCGGAACAAGTGCTTTACTGACGAATTTTGTTCGAACCACAACGCTGTAAATGCTTCACCCACGTACTACAAATACAAATAATCGCCAACAGAACCTAAACACCTGATCTAACCTAACCTATGCCTATTTATACACAATATCCTAATATATTATAATATTAATTTATACTTGAGAAATTCCCGTTTTGAATGAACAGCATGTTAAAATTTATGAATGCGTCTGTGGGGTTGACCGCTGGATGTAATGGACTTAAGTCGAGGACGGGTTGTCATAAACAGGGGGTTTGGCGGGTGCATGGAATCACTTTTGGGATTTTGTTTGGTGGACGGGCTGCCAGCCAGTTTAGTTTTTGGTCGCAGGGCCCCAGGTTGTAAGACTTTCCACAAGCGTGACCTGTCGCCAACATGAAAACTGCTAAAATACATTATACTACAAGTTCTGGAGATTTAATTATACCTCTTGATATATTATACTCCACAACGGCCAATATTTAAAGTTGATAAAACAATGGTATGTCTATACATTATTTTTTACTTGCCTAACCGTTTCTCCAATCTACTTGACCGTCGTTGTTGTTGAGTATGCTACTTGACCGAGACCACATCAAGTTCGCCACCTAAGGGTAACGTTGACCTGCTCGTCTAAACGACCTACCTGAGACTGTACGCTCTAGGGCTCCGATGCCTCTTGCTGCTGAGACTTCTCTGAGGTCGTCCTTCAGAATTCTGCATTCCCCGTATTACAATTGTTCATCAAGCCTCTGGCATCTGCTGGTAGAGCCGATGGGCAGGATTACAATGTAACTTCCATGCTGCAGTTCCTCGGGCGGTTACGGTACACAAAATTCAAGAAATACTGAGCACCATCTGTGTTGCCAACCAGCCAGCTGGAAGGTTTGTGGCTTGTGTCCGCGAGGCTTCCTTCCTCATTATTTATATAATTCATTTTTCCTTCCTTGATGGAGAGAAAATTTGGTGAATAGTGGAGAATACATTATAATAAGTCATTGGATACCCTGATAACCACACGACAGTTAACTATATGTTTCATATTATACTGAAAATAACTGATGGAATAAAATTAATTGCTGTCGATATGGTATCAGTTAACTGCGCTAAGCTCCACATAATAATTTGCTGCAGGATAGTTACCAACTGTGGAGACATGCTTAATGAAGTTCATTGGTAAATTCCGTCTTCGTTAATGGATACAAATTTATGTGCCTACATGTATAGTGAACACGTAATCTTTCATTCTGAAAAGTTGATCATACACGAGGCAGCCATTGTGCGTGTTGGTACATAAGTAGGTAATGTGTTCCTCATCTCCCCATTTCCACAAACAATTTTACAGATCAGAGAAAGAGAAATGAAGCATAAACAGTCTTAAGGTCCATAGAATACCAGAATGAGACAACGATGAAATGAGAGCAGAAATATCCTAAGCTACTCTATCCCTTTAATATGTGTTTTATTGTTTCAATAAACGTACTTGAACGAAGAAATCATAATTAAAAAACAATTATCAAGACTTCTCTTCCGTCAAATCATCCCCCAATCCCCTACTCCCAGTGGAATAATCTGTTTATTGTTACTAAAACACCTATGAAACCATAATATATACACTGTAATGCTTTCAATGATCAAAAATAACAGATAGCAAGTCACATTCGTTACTGTGAAGACCACAGATGCAAATAATATTTTCCAGCGAGAGGAAATTCATATTGACACGATAACCGCCGGATATATTTCATATTATTGTCCTCTGTCTGATGGCAAAATCAAATATAACATAAGGTACATTCAACTTATTAAAAACTTGACAATTACTAGCGTATAGATTTTCTCATAGTTATTTACATGGCTCATTGAATTGAAATTGAAATAAGTTTATTGAGGTAAAATACACACAAAGGGATGAGGTAGCTCAAGCTATTCTCACCCCATTCACTACAACGTGTTAATACATACATAGACACACATCACAAACAATAAACATATTACCGAACATTCTGAGAGATAAAGATATACATTTCCTCCTTTACACAAGTAGTATGGTATCAGACGTACACACAAATACTTTTATGACCTAGGTATACTGTATAGACATACATTGCTCATGATGGCGCCTTCTCTTACTGGATTAGCTACATTAAAAAGAAAAAAAATGCACTTTTACATAAGAGGGAAATTGTTGGGGTTTTTGTCAAACTACATTAAAACATTATTTTATGAGGCTGTATTTTATGAGTCCTGTTGTAAAAATGTGAACTCCTTGCATACTGACGATTGTGAGCTTACATACTTGCAGGATGAATGCACTCGTTCCTTGGTCAGTATGATTATACGTGTTTCTTGGTAACAATGATTGCACTTGCTCTTTGTCAGATTGTTTGCACTTGTTTCTTGGTCAGAATGATTGCACTTGTTCCCAGGTCAGAATGTTTGCATTTGTTCGTTGGACAGAATGATTGCACTTGTGCCTTCGTCAGAATAATTGCACTTGCTCCTTGGGCAGAATGATTGCACTTGCTCCTTGGGCAGGATGATTGCAGTTGTTCCTTGGTCATGACGACTGCATGTTTGTCAGAATGAGTGCACTCGTTCCCTGGTCAGAAGATAAACACTCATTACTTGGTGCTTCTGGCAGAACTTCAAGGGGATGGTGATCCACGTGGAGACCCGGCCCGCCCCTCGTAAAGGAGTAGCTTTCGACGTCCTTTTCAAGATCGACATCCTGAGGGAGCCCTTGCTTAACCTACTCAAGAGCCTCCGTCAGGGCTCCGCCATCGCCTCCGTCAACCTTCTCTCTGAACATCATTCATCCATCAAAGGTAGGTAGGTGTGTGTGTCTCGGATATGACTCAATCTAAAATATTTTCCATAGAACTTAAGACACTACATGCAGGAATGGCCACTGCCGCTCATACTGTGGGCTGCTGTGCCAGGTGATGCGCGCGAGTAACTCTTATTCACGACTTAGCACAGTAAATCATTCCTTTAAAGACGACTCTGAGCCTGAAATAATATTTTCATAAATCTGAGCTTCATGTGGTCAGCTAAGGAGCAAGACGACTTAGCCAGATTGTCAACCCTAGGTAATATGCAGCTGAAAGGTAAATTGTAGTCCCAGTCTAATACCATATAAAACCACTGCCAGAATATTGTGGAACTAATCAGTATGTATAAGTACTTCAGGACACAGATTACTCTGGCCTTTAACTACGCTATATACCGCTAGAAATATCCACGTAAACCTCTCTCTCTCTCTTCCCCGCCCACAGAGCCATGGTTCCCCAAGCACATCAGTGAGCTGGACGTCTGCAACCACCTGATGACCAAGTACGAACCAGACCTTGATATGGACCACCCAGGCTTTGCTGACAAGGAGTACCGGGCCAGAAGGAAGGAAATAGCAGACATCGCCTTCACATATAAATAGTGAGTAGACACACTAGATAGGGCTGAAGTAGGATAATAGATCAAATTTACCGCATGTGGTGCAGGTGTGGGAAGGTATGATGTATGATAATTGTGGGATGTCACTGCTCGAGATCCAGCCCATTCTCTCGATTTGTCAAGCGTCAAATTTGAAGTTTGCTAACCATAAGCATACGAACATCTATAGGCATCCCAACTGACCTGTTGAGGCCTTTGTTAATTTGTCAGAATGACTTTAGTACATTTATTATACACCCCCACACCCATCCTTTGAGTGGTAGTGGACCCCACACCCATCCTCTTAGTAGTAATGGACCCCAGACCCATCCAGTGAGTGGTAGTTGACCCCGCACTCATCCGGTGAGTGGTAGTGGAAAAATTTAGTGGCAAATAATCCGAGAATGAGTCTGTAACGTGCCACAGTGAGTCAGATAACTCTGACATACAGACGCTTTGGATTTACCTCACCTCTTCAACCGCAAGAATGTAGTACTCGGCGTGTAATCAAATCGACCTCACTACGACCGCATCGAGCTACAAGTCAATATATTCATTAAAGCACCGAAATTCTGAAACTATGGTCGATAGCGTAAAAAATGCAGTGCATTAAATGTGAGGACAGACAGAATCAGTACTGGACCAGCATGGGGACTACATTTTCATACCATAAATTACCACTTTTCCATTGATTTTTTCCACCTAACTGGAAAACCTGAGTCGAGTTTCCCACCTGAGTGGGAAACTCCACGTAAACTCCACGTAAACGTAAAGGCAGAGTTGTGGTGTGGTGGCGGCAGACATGGGCAGAAAGACTGCAGTCCTGCACCAGGAGGCCTCTCTTATAAACTTTTTTACTTTACTGGGAAGGAAGTTGTAACATCTCAAAGTCTGTATATTTTATTAATGTTAAAGGGGTTTCTTAAATCCTCACTGGCTTCTGGACGAGCATGGGCCATGGGCTTGCGCAGGAGCCCGGGAGGCACAACACATGACCCCCAAGCCCACAGAATAGATCAAAAGAACAATTTGGTAGATATGTACAGAAAAAAAAATTGTAATTTGAGATAGAGCGGGAATGTTTAGAAGGGAGTAAAGGGTAACTATCAGTGGAGAATATAATGAAAGCATCCAGCAGTACAGGGGGGAACCAAATACAGTGAAACAAGAGAGAGATAGTGATAAAGGTAAAGAAATATCAAGAAATTATCTCAAAATCCAGATGATAGTAACTACTACAACACTTCCTAATCCCCTCCATCCTCCAGCGGTGAGCCCATCCCGAGGGTGGAGTACCGGCCTGAGGAGATAGCGACCTGGGGGGAAGTGTTCAGGGCGCTGGAGAGACTCATCCCCACCCACGCCTGCCGTCAGTACCGCGAAGTGTGGGAGACGCTGAAGAAGGAGTCTGGCTACTCTCCCGACACCATTCCCCAGCTCGAAGATGTTTCTAAGTTTATGAAACGTGAGTAGTGAGATGGCGGCCTTTCCTCTCAGCCTTGCTGTGCAGTTTACACTAATCCCAATTATTATATTATTAATCGTAAATATGTATTTTCCACTGAACGTTCTATGACTGAAATTGTCATTCAAGAAGACAATTACAGCAATATATAATATATATATATATATATATATACTCAACTTTTTTACACCAGTAAAAACAGAAACATAGAATTCCACGAATCACGTACATGTCAGATAATTACCCCTTACCCGTCAATTTGTTTTACTTTATATTTTATATTTGCTACCAAAGTCAACTTATCTTTACTCAACTAATACATCCAAGCTTCAGCGCCCTTCTGTCAGCTGACCTCACCCTTCTGTCAGTAGACCTCACCCTTCTGTCAGCTGACCTCACCCTTCTGTCAGCTGACCTCACCCTTCTGTCAGTAGACCTCACCCTTCTGTCAGCTGACCTCACCCTTCTGTCAGCTGACCTCACCCTTCTGTCAGCTGACCTCACCCTTCTGTCAGTAGACCTCACCCTTCTGTCAGCTGACCTCACCCTTCTGTCAGCTGACCTCACCCTTCTGTCAGTAGACCTCACCCTTCTGTCAGCTGACCTCACCCTTCTGTCAGCTGACCTCACCCTTCTGTCAGCTGACCTCACCCTTCTGTCAGCTGACCTCACCCTTCTGTCAGCTGACCTCACCCTTCTGTCAGCTGACCTCACCCTTCTGTCAGCTGACCTCACCCTTCTGTCAGCTGACCTCACCCTTCTGTCAGCTGACCTCACCCTTCTGTCAGCTGACCTCACCCTTCTGTCAGCTGACCTCACCCTTCTGTCAGCTGACCTCACCCTTCTGTCAGCTGACCTCACCCTTCTGTCAGCTGACCTCACCCTTCTGTCAGTAGACCTCACCCTTCTGTCAGCTGACCTCACCCTTCTGTCAGCTGACCTCACCCTTCTGTCAGCTGACCTCACCCTTCTGTCAGCTGACCTCACCCTTCTGTCAGCTGACCTCACCCTTCTGTCAGCTGACCTCACCCTTCTGTCAGCTGACCTCACCCTTCTGTCAGTAGACCTCACCCTTCTGTCAGCTGACCTCACCCTTCTGTCAGCTGACCTCACCCTTCTGTCAGCTGACCTCACCCTTCTGTCAGCTGACCTCACCCTTCTGTCAGCTGACCTCACCCTTCTGTCAGTAGACCTCACCCTTCTGTCAGCTGACCTCACCCTTCTGTCAGCTGACCTCACCCTTCTGTCAGTAGACCTCACCCTTCTGTCAGCTGACCTCACCCTTCTGTCAGCTGACCTCACCCTTCTGTCAGCTGACCTCACCCTTCTGTCAGCTGACCTCACCCTTCTGTCAGCTGACCTCACCCTTCTGTCAGTAGACCTCACCCTTCTGTCAGCTGACCTCACCCTTCTGTCAGCTGACCTCACCCTTCTGTCAGCTGACCTCACCCTTCTGTCAGCTGACCTCACCCTTCTGTCAGCTGACCTCACCCTTCTGTCAGCTGACCTCACCCTTCTGTCAGTAGACCTCACCCTTCTGTCAGCTGACCTCACCCTTCTGTCAGCTGACCTCACCCTTCTGTCAGCTGACCTCACCCTTCTGTCAGCTGACCTCACCCTTCTGTCAGCTGACCTCACCCTTCTGTCAGCTGACCTCACCCTTCTGTCAGCTGACCTCACCCTTCTGTCAGTAGACCTCACCCTTCTGTCAGCTGACCTCACCCTTCTGTCAACTGACCTCACCCTTCTGTCAGCTGACCTCACCCTTCTGTCAGCTGACCTCACCCTTCTGTCAGCTGACCTCACCCTTCTGTCAGCTGACCTCACCCTTCTGTCAGTAGACCTCACCCTTCTGTCAGCTGACCTCACCCTTCTGTCAGCTGACCTCACCCTTCTGTCAGCTGACCTCACCCTTCTGTCAGCTGACCTCACCCTTCTGTCAGCTGACCTCACCCTTCTGTCAGCTGACCTCACCCTTCTGTCAGCTGACCTCACCCTTCTGTCAGCTGACCTCACCCTTCTGTCAGCTGACCTCACCCTTCTGTCAGCTGACCTCACCCTTCTGTCAGCTGACCTCACCCTTCTGTCAGCTGACCTCACCCTTCTGTCAGCTGACCTCACCCTTCTGTCAGCTGATCTCACCCTTCTGTCAGTTGACCTCACCCTTCTGTCAGCTGACCTCACCCTTCTGTCAGCTGACCTCGCCCTTCTGTCAGTTGACCTCGCCCCTCTGTTAGCTGACCTCGCCCCTCTATCGGCTGACCTCGCCCCTCTGTTAGCTGACCTCACCCCTGTATCACATACCGACGCAAGTGATGTTGATCCTCTGCTCTACCACTGTAGGACGAACGGGGTTTACCCTTCGGCCGGCTGCCGGGCTGTTGACTGCGAGAGACTTCCTGGCCTCTCTGGCCTTCAGGGTGTTCCAGTGCACCCAGTACATCCGTCACCACTCCTCCCCTCACCACTCCCCTGAGCCGTAAGTACTGTCCATCGTCTTGAGTTCAGACTCCAGAGTCTGGAGTCCGGATTGCGGTGCTCAGACCCTGGACTCTGGGCATCGCAATCAGTCCTCAACACTATACCTTTATCCTTGAATACTGATTGAACCATTAACACTGCCAGAGCCCTCAACAGTCCCTGTGATGGGGATCTAGCACCGTGACAGGGTTTTAGTCCTGTAATAGTACCCTATTCCTGTGACAGTTCTCTTCCCCACTGCCGGCAGGGATGCCATCCACGAGCTGCTAGGACATGCTCCCCTCCTGGCCGACCCAACCTTCGCCCAGTTCTCCCAGGAACTGGGTCTCGCTTCCCTAGGAGCCTCCGACCAGGAGATCGAGAAGTTTGCCACGGTGAGATGTGCTCTGTTTACTATTCTCTCTCTTCTGACCACATGTCATGAGAACATGTACTTGGCGCTTTTCAGGATGACTGGTTAGTGCTTGTGGACTGTCATAGGGACGTCAAGGGTCTGTGTCCATGCCTTCCCTTAATATAAAATTTCAACTTCGTTAAATACTAGACTCCTTCCTCACTAAGAGCCTTCCATCATATTTTCCACACGATGAAGACAGTTTAGAGTGAAGATGGTGAAGGTCATAAAGACAGTGTATAGTGAAAATGGTTACAGGGATGAAGTGCGTAGTTACAGTGATAGCGACAGTGATGAAGTATGTAGTGAAGATAGTTACAGTGATACAGACAGTGATGTGTAGTAAAAGTGGTTGTGGTGATGATGGTCGAGTAGTGTTGATGGTTACAGTGATAATAGAAGTATAGTGTAGATGCTTACAGTGACCATTATAGTATGTAGAGTAGATAGTGTAAGCTATAGTGATGATGGTCCTATGTAGTGAAGATGATTACAGTAATTTTGACAGTGTGTAGTGAAGATTGTTACAATGATGAGGGTCGTGTGCAGTGAGAATAGTTCCAGCGATGAAAGACATGTGTAGATAGTTTCAGTGATGAAGGCCATGTGTAGTATAGGTGTGTGGTCTCCGTCATCCAGCAACACTGGATACCCAAGTTAGTATGACGATATCATATATGCATTATATGTTTTGTTTTGTTTTCTTTTCTTTTCGTCAAAACAAGTCACAAGACTGCGATTCTTGTGCTGACTGTGTACGCTGTTCTCCAGATGTACTGGTTCACGGTGGAGTTCGGGCTGTGCCGTGAAGGCCCAGAGATTCGGGCCTGGGGTGCAGGGCTGATGAGCAGCTTCGGGGAACTGGAACACTCCCTTTCAGAAAAGCCCACTAAGATGAGCTTCGACCCAGCCATCACCGCCGTCCAGACGTATCAGGATCAGGACTACCAGGATCTCTACTTCGTCGCCGACAGCATCGAGGACGCTCAGGAGAAGTTCAGGTGAAGGATGAGGGGAAGAGATAAATTAGTTAGGGATAAGGATATACAAACTATATATAGAGACAGATACACTTGTGGAAGAAAGGGACTGAAATAGTTTCAGTTGGGGAGGAATAAATTAAGTTCAGTCAAACGATTTCAAGCATTTCCTCTTAATTTCTGACTGTGAGGAAGGTGGCCAAAATTAAAGTGGAAACCTAAAGCGATGCTAAAGCTTTACAAAACGATCTACGTGAAACCTATAAATGGTTAGCGGGCAGACACATGCTTTTCAATGTTGAATATGCAAGACCTTAGATGGAGGGCATAACAATAAACATTATAATCGCATCAACGCACTCCTGTAGCAGATTGAAAAAGAAAGACCAGATTATAATCCAGTCTCTGAAAATTTCTCAAGAACTTAAGAAACTTTTAATGTGTTTATTAATGTGTCTGTAAATATTACAATATTCATTGTAATACCCCTTGCCTAGTCATTATAATATTCGTACTGATATCTCTTACCTAATCATACATTAATTATGATATTCCCTGCCTAAGAATTACAGTATGTACTGTATACTACTGTACTTTTGTATCATTATTGATTAAATATTCACTAATCAGTAATTTATCTTTGTCAAATCATAATCAACTGTTATTCGTAAATGTTTGTGTGTTCCAAAAGAGAATATCTTCATGTTTTAGCTAGTAAGACTATTCACTCCAGTTCCTCGAATGCATATCTTCGGCATGCCAAACATTAATTCTGTTTCTTGCCGCTGACAAACTCCATGCTAGAGACCTCTCAACATTAACTCTTATTGTCTCTCCCACAGGCGATGGACCTTCCAGACCATGAGTCGGCCCTACGAGGTACGCTACGAGCCCTATAGCCAGACAGTACAGACTCTGGACTCTGTGAACAAGTTGGAAGCTCTCGGTGTCGCTCTTCACTCAGATGTCACCCGACTCAACATTGCTATTCACAAGATGAAGTTCTAATTGGCAAGAGAGAAAGGTAGAGAGTGGTGGTTATGGTTGAGAGCTCTGAAGCGTGACTATTAAAAACTGGTAGTTTGATGGATTCAAGTGTTCGAGGAAAGAATATGGTATATGAAAACAATTATTATACACAAGTAGTTGATGAAGGTTGGCAATGGTAGGTGAATGGTAGAGGTATATAAATTGTTGAGTGATACAGGTGGTGCTGGAGGTAGGGTAATGGTTCTGAAAACAGAAGTCAGTATTGCATAAATGTAATATTGCAATGTGAATCATGCTTTATATCATTGTAAACTGCATTACACTGGCAGTATTTTCAAATGTATTAATATATGAGTTTCCATTCCTCAGTTAAAAATCTGCATGCTAATGTTTGCTACTCGTTGTTAGAGTTGACTGGCTTTACAATACTTGACCATCATCCTGTAGGTTAATGACAATAACTACACTCACTCATACAGTATACTCTAGCATCTTACATCTGGCCAGACATGACATTATTAAACACAACATAGTAAGTGTTGGATAACTCTGAAGCCGAGCACCATCACTGTACTCGCCTAGTTATGCCTGCGGGGGTTGAGCTCTGGCTCTTTGGTAGCCAGCACATTAACTGTGTGTTAGTGCTGCCGATACTAACCGCCACCCAACATTAACAACCATTAAAAATCAACACTGTCACACTACACGTCTAGGGTCATTGTTTACCACCAAAATAGTCACAAATAATTTATACAACACTTAACAAGCATGACCAGCAGAATGATGAACATTATAACACTATTTTTGACCCCTTGAGCAGTCTTCAGGACACAGTAATGCTCTTCAGTGGTAAAGATTAACAGGTATCTCATAAGACATGCAGTGACTAGCATTATGTAGTGTAAACATGGCCTGTGCAGTCTTCAGGACAAGCTCTATCGTATTTAAATCGGGAAACACTACCAGAGATATTAACCCAAACACCATAGCACCACTCTCAGCCAGCTGTATGGTTGTAACCTCCTCGCTCACTTGCACACTTATATACCACTATTGATCAGTACTACTGTAATTTTCACACAAATATACCACAACTGATCAGTTCTACTGTAGTTTCCACACTGATATACTGTACCACTATTGATCAGCTCTACTGTAGTTCCCACACTGAAATACAATACCACTATTGATCAGTTCCTGACCTCATCATATGTGACCCCCCTGACCTCTTTGATATTAGGATGAGTAAATAGCTACAATAATAATTATAATAATTATGATATATGCAAAGTATTAATAATAATTAATTATATAAATAAATCTAATACAGACACTGTATTCTTAAGAATAAGAATACTGATCTGTAAAGTAATTGACCTGTGAACTTCACTGAAAGAACAGATAGAAAATATTAAAAAAAAAGAAAAAACTGAAAGAACATGTATTATATTTATCTGAACAACAGGTCAATAAACAGAACATAAATAAATTTAAATTGCTTTGACATGGTATTCTATTCATTGTAACTAGGAAAACGTGTCCTTTGTATAATATTTATACACGTATATGAATACATATCTGCAACTGCACCAGAAGTGGTACCCCTATATAAATATATATGTACAGTATATATATATGCAGTATTTATATAGGGGGTACCACCTCTGGTGCAGTTGTGGGGACCCATAACATCAGATCGCATGACTTCTGCTCTACCTAGAGGTCATCAGAATTCGTTTTGATTTCCTGCCCATTGGGTTACGCTTTGCCGTAAGGCACCTTCATTCAACTGCCCAGATAGTTGCAACGCCTGGTGCCTATATTCCACGGGGTCACGAGGGCATTGATAGATTTTCTAGCGTATTATTAAATACGCTATTATTAATGAGTGGGAGTCCGTGGTTAATTATTGTTAGCGTATTATTCTAGATGTATTATTAAATATGAAAGTACTTAAGGAAACTCCTGTCTTAAGCCTTCCTTTGTGGTCTGACATTGTCCCATTGTTCACGTGTTAATTTCTTTGTGATTTACATACACGATACACTAGAATTTGAATTAACATAATAACTATATTATATAAAGTGGTGATATTAAGAAATTATATATTTATGTAGTTGTACAGTATTTTTAGATACTAAAGTACTAGGTGAGTTAGCATATATAAGAAGGAAGCCTATATACTGTATATCTAAACAATGTTATACATTCAAATACCTTTTAATTCTTCCTTTCATAAAAGCAACAATTAAGTGTGTAATCCAGCAAGCTGTGTCAGAGATAATATGTCAGTGTGATCACCACAGACCTGGTAGTACTGTACTGACTCTGGAAGCCTCTCACATTTAATTTTGCCCAAAACTCTTTACATATTAGTGGCTTCATTTGTGTGTATAACTTCTATCCCTACAATTATCCCTTACTCTTATGTTACTTGTGTGCACAGTCTTTGAAATAAAATTATGAATATGAATAATGTGTTTGGGACGTTGAGTTGTTATGGGGTACGTTCCTATGTCTCAATATGTTTTTTTGCTACATGATGTATGGCAATATGACTATTAATTGGAAAGTGTTCTCAGACAGTATACAGTATGGTAGACTACAGTAAACTGCATCACAAGGGGTTTTGTAATTAATGAATGTTATTTTAAAAGTAATGAAATGGTAAATTAGCATTTTGACATGATAATTAATAGTGTATGTTTGTTATGTTTTCACTGAATATGCAAATCTATTAATCATGTGTCAACTGAGGGCATGAATACTCTAGTCATGTGCAGAGTATAAAGGATATGAATACTTTAGCAGATAGTTTACTTAGTCATGTCTCCTGTGTAAACAGCCAAACGTGTATCAATGTCTAGTCAAACACTATTAGATATTTAAGATTTGTTTGTTTAGTATTGTACAGTATATAATAATGTTAAGAGGCCTTCCCTGGGTGATAGTTTATTCCCAAGTTGAGTTATGTATAGTGTACCGACGGTGCTGGGGGAGGTTGAGATGCTTCGCTTAATAATACTGTGTATCAAGTCTTTACATCAAGCTGTCATATCCTAATGTGAACAACATTAATCACTAGAGAACTATAACTCTGACAGGTGTGGAACAGCTGTGGGTAAGCAAGTATATGAAGCAGCTGTGTATAAACAAGAGTGAAGCAACTGTGTATTAGCAAGTGTGTGAAGCAGCTATGTTGTGTGGTATGAGATTACTAATAACTAGTCATTATGACCAATATGTCGACACATTTCATCAATAACAAATACTGGAAGACTGTATACTTGTGTTTCATTCTCCTTTTTGTTCTGATCATCTAGTATGCTGTCTTTTATATTAAAATTATATGCAAAGCTTTTGAAGTCTTTATACTGTACAAACATTATTACAGACATTACATATATGGTATATATATATATATAGTCTCTAAAGCTACAAATAATTATATTGTTTGTCAGATTTGACATTGTCAGCCACTATGACAACTTTAAAATGTACCTTTGTAGATGCTGCTACAAAGGGTGTTCAAGTGATTGTCTCGATTAATTGTGTGAAGGTGATGCATTTTGATGCCTCTTCATCTGTTCCTGTTTCGGCTACCTCCCCACATTTGTTTACCAGTGGGAACAAATAGTTCCAACTCCACCTCCTGCAGAATTACCCATTATTTTCTTTCACCCACAGTTTCATTTCTAGATCCGAGCCCTTTGACACTTAATGACACAGACAACAGTGGCGAAAGTATTGAAAACCTGCATGGGCCACATCATGTACCATCTAGCCCAATTCCTGTTCTCTTTTACCTTGTCTAATAAGAGTTAGGGCACACTGTAGTGATGCCCTCTATCCCTGCAGTGTGATTCTTGTAAGAAGGCCCAACAACTTTCAGAAAATGAGTCGGTGTATCTTCATGCAGGCGATGAGTCACAATAACATGGCTGAAGTATGTTGACCAGACCACACACTAGAAAGTGAAGGGAGTGAAGTGAAAGTGAAGGGACGACAATGTTTCAGTCCGTCCTGGACCATCCTCAAGTCGATGACTTGAGAATGGTGTATCTTCGGTTTATCTTCACCTCTTAAGATGGTGACACCTCTTAAGATGGTGACACCTCTTAAGATGGTGACAACATTGTTAGTGCCTCACCTTTTCTGCTTTGGTGTGTACATGCTTATTGTGACAGTTGGTCTTGTGTTTGTTCAGCCCTTGTCTTACAGTGTGAGAAACTAAATACTGTATCAATTTCTTGTCAAATAGAATGTAAAGAGTAACAGTATGCCAAACAAACCCAACTCCAATCACAGTGAAAAGCTCTGTACCCCAAGGCACTGTCCTGACACCATTCCCCTTTCTCATCCTCATATGGTAGTACAGTGGCTATGTTCTCGACTCACAATTGAGGATGCCAGATTCGATCCCCAGGCAGGATAGAAATGGTTGGGTATATTTCCTTTCACCTGATGCCTCTGTTTACCTAGCAGTAAATAGGTACCTGAGAGTTAAGCAACTGTTTTGAGGTTGCATCCTGGTGAAGGTCAGTAGTCTGACATGGGGGAACCTCAATACAAGCCTAAAGTATATACAGAGGTTTCCTATCTCCGACAAAATGAATTCAAATTACATCAGATGTAGCCAAAAGAAAAATTACTGTCCCATTCATCCTTTTCAGACAATAACTATCAGCATAAAAATTACCTCCATAGAAGACACCAAATAGATATCAATAAAGTCTTCAACTGGGCAATACAAAATTTTGATTTTTAAGTGATAAATTCCACATACTGTACAGTACCTAGATATGGTAATTATTAAGAATTTTATTCAGATAAATTTCAAAATTTTTGTATAATTTAGTAGGGAAGAAACAATATTTCATATGAACATTGTAATAGTATATACTTTATTTAATAGGTATAGATACACAAAACAATTTAACCTCATCCTCACTGAATGTTTAATACAATAACAATAAGTATTTCATAAAATAACTTAGATGCCACTGATTAGCTTGTAGCTTGAGCCATACAGAGTGTACTGATCGCTCCCAACCTAATGAATGTACAATGTATGTCAGTCCCACAACTTCAAATTCAAATAACATACAAGTAATTCAAATAAAAACAAAATGAGGTTTTATATAATCCACTTGGGAGATTCTCTTAAACTGATAAATTGAATGAACTTTTCAGTTACTACTAATTAACAACACACTGAGTTTAAGCCAGAAATAAGTTAGTTTTTTTTATTTTAACAGCTGTACTGTATATCACTGGTAACTTTAAAATTCCCTTCATCCCTGACTAGAGTAATAGCCATTGAAATCCAGTCTGTTGAGGAGATCTTGCTGGCAGGAATCTATTCGAATTCGTTGTCCAACCTTTACCAGCACTGAAGGAACACAGATAAAAATTAAGATTATATTATAATATACGGATGATATAATAAAATATAATGACACTGAAGGAGAGAAGTGTTCAAAATATGGTAAGAGTACATAAGTAATGCTTTATATACAGAATTATTCATAAGAAATACCTTAAAGCATACCATGGATTATTTTGCAAAATTAAATCACTGAAATTGCTTGATTGTATAGCATACCACCTAATTTAACAGATTTCTGCTGGAATGTATTTGATAGCTTACTGATATTTGCTAGTAATAATGTTTCAAAAAATATTCTTAGCTGAACCTAATAATATGTTGCAACTAAATAATTACTGTATTTTGTATAGCATATTGAAACATAATACAAGACTATGTTTTCTTATGGTTATAATTCAAAAAAAGTTCCTCTTCTATTAAAAAATATTTCACCAAATTTTAAATTTTGTGAAAAGATCACAATACAATTGTGTTTTGGGACTGTAATGTGCACATTATCTTGAAGAAACTTCCTGCCCTGTTGTGACTCAAGAGAGCATGAAAACATTCAGGCATGCAGAAAGTGTGTTTGGATGCTGTATAAATAGGCCATTTATATGGGCAGAAAAGGGATATTACTGAGATAAGTCGAATCCTCAAAGTTTTCTTATTTTATGAGAGACCGTCGGAAGTGAAAGACCCAGTGTGACGTAAGTCTAGCACATGGCTAATAGTATTTTATGGCAAGTTAAAGCACAACACAGTGTGTCATGAGGGATTACCAGAGCACCTCACATTTTTTGTCTGAATAACAAGCAGGCAGATAGTTCTGGTCTGGACCTTGACAAGGAGAGATGACAAAAGTAATTTACAAGAGTGTCATGGGTGGAAACTTTTAAGAAAGGAATCATGAATAGAATCGTGAACTATGGCAGACATGGGAAATATACGGGGAGGCACAGGCTAGACATGAAGCATTATTACAGGTGTGGATGGCAGTACTGTCATTCTGCCAGACGTTGTCTCAGCTGTGTTAGTCGCTCAAACCAGTGTCAGATATAGATGCAAAGGTAGCAGAATGTTTTAATGAGGTGTTAAATGAGCAGCAAGTAGGTGATGTTTGACCTAATCCATATGGAGATTGACATTTTTGAGAGCCAAGCAGGAATCAATAGCCCAATTAGAAGCCAATATTAGGACCTTTTTTCTTAGCTTGAGAAAGAGGCAAGTGTGGGGGGCATGGTCAGATAGATCAAAGATTGTTTTACCTAACTAAAACCTTTAGAAAGAAGGTTAGATCTTGCTTAACTCGGATGGGATGAGGGAGAAAGATAGCTAAAAGGAATTTAAGAATTAACTCGTAGATCACTGACTTGCAACACAACCAAGCAGAATTAAAGTCACAGTTCTCAGCTCTTAAACATGAACCAGGAAAGTAAAGGCATTTGCAACAATTTTCTTTTCCAGTGCATTACCAAAGGTCTTTGCCTTGCACTGCAAGAATGTCAAGACATTCAAAGATATGCAGTGAAGGCTCCAGTGTTTTGGCAGTAAATAGCTTAGTACATAAGCTATCAGAGGATGACAGTTGTAAAGAACTGCCACCTTAGGTGGTACTTCTTTAAAAATAAAGTGCCACTTAGGTGGCAAAATAAAGCTATAAATTACTCATAATAAAACACATTACAATAAAGAGCAATGAAGGCCAGAAAGTAATTAGCTAATGCCAGAAAACATAATCACTGTTTCTTCAAAACCTCATATTTGGTCTTCAAACATGCAATGAAGCATGATCACCAAGCACAAAGAAAATATACAAACTAGCATAAGTAATAAGGACAAAGCTTATCAAACTGTCAAATGGAAACGTGTGGCACCAGTTAACAAATCCAGTTAACCAAGTCCAAACTGTACATCTAAAGATCCTTATGGTGTGGGCACGCATAATTAATTACAAGTAGATACAATGTGACAAATGTAAATGACTGTATACATGTCAGCTAGTGGAAATATTTCTTTTAAGTTTATTTGCCCCCAAAATAAATGTACCAGAAAGATTTCTTTGGTACATTTGTACCAAAAAAATTTCTGCTTCAGTAGATCATGTATGGGTAGTGTAAGCCTGGCGAGGTGTTGAGGAGGATGTTTGTATCACTTGGTTAGTCAGATTAAGCACATTTGGGTCTGTAAAGTGACTGGATGGGTGACAATATGCATATAATCTGGCCTTTCGCTAGGGGAACCTTAAACAAGCCAGTTAAGTGCTTTCTGTCTCCAAAAGGTCATATCCATACCTATAGTGAAAATGACCAGTTTGATATTCAAAAATTGTATGCACCTGGTGTACCAGAACCCCTACCCTCATCCAGTTGTCTCGGAAACAAGGATGTTGGGCTGACATGAAACAGCTTCTGGAGCCAAAGCTGAAACATCTAGCTAATCAGGTAAAAGGACGCATCTGTTGGTTGCAAACCCATCAAACATGACCTACCATGAAGGCAAAACTTATGTTCCTGGGATTGCCATCACCATTTATTTAAAGGTAGAGCAGAGGATAGGCCCTGTCAGAGGTTATGTGCTCTGACCAGGAAAGTAAGTGAAGGTGTGGGCTAACTGGGACCCCAAATAACCTAGGCTATGGGACCCCAAATGACCTAGGCTATCACCTGGTAGTAATCAGGTGCATTACAGAAAGGGTGTTTACACGCATCAACAATAGATGAAATTGTTTATGTAATAATCTAAGATGAGATCTGATAAAGACCTTTTGTGCCCTTTGTAATGTTTTTTGCTCTACCGCTCACAGGATGAGTATGGGGTGCACAATAAACTAGCCGCCTCAGGCGGCAACAAATAAAAAAAATCAACAATAGTATGTCTCGTTACTTTCATGTACCTAATTTTCTTCTAAAAGTTACTTGTTTTGTGCGCTTATGCTTCTCTCGGTCTTGGTTGAATTTACCTGAGGGCCACTATCACCCAAGTGGCCTCAATTGAAACAGGAAGCCAGCAGCTTGTCAAAGTCTCTTCATTGTTTTTAAGACTTTTGGGATGGACGGTAGAGCGACGGTCTTGCGTCATGCAGGTCGGCGTTCAATCCCCCAACAGTCCAAGTGGTTGGGCATCATTCCTTCCCCCCGTCCCATCCCTCATCCTTATCCTGATCTCCCTTCCAAGTGCTATGTAGTCATAATGGCTTGGCGCTTTCCCCTGACAATTCCCTTCCCTTCTATCTGGATCATGAACTGACAATGTCATGGAATCTGATAGGAATGGTTTAAAAAAGATCCCTACCATACTGGTGCAAATCATGGCAGTTACAGAATTTTGACCTTCTCTGGCTATGCATAATCCTGTCCACAGAACCAGAAAGATCTTGCTTTAGGTAGCAACTAAGTGGAAAAGCTCAAAACACAAATGCAATTATGAAAATAATTAAAGCAAAATATGAACAATGTAGCAAGTTTAATATTTATTAATATACATAACCTACACTGTTGCCATTTTATTAGTAATTTTGGAAGCTTATTTCATTATACATACAAAGAACTCCAGTGTAGAGTGAGTGTGGGCTAAGTGTAAAAATACAAGACCAAGGCCTGGAGGACTTTTAAAACAACACTTTGAACTTCTTTAAAGGAAATAAATGAGGCATTTTATAAAGTATGACTACACTACAGTTTCAGCTACTGTACTATAATGCAAGACTAATGTAACTGTAGAATAAACAATCGGTAAACAGATGAGCCATTTTATGTTTATATTTCTAAAGTTATTATTATGAGATTAGTAAAAGGCCAACAAAATATTTGAAGAACAAACAATATACATGCACCACAACATTTATATGCAAGCTATAGTTGGGAGCTGTGTGTTAGTTACATCTATTATTCACTTGCTACAGTACACCTCATTCACTACACACGGACCTCATCCACTACGTGAGTACACCATAACAAAAAGAAGAGGCAGTAGCTTGTGGCAGATGTAATCATAGTTAAAATTATTTCTAAGAGACCCCATGATTTTTTGTTGCCTTTGAAACCACTACTGTTAGGTAGACACAGGGGGTGCCCTTATTCACAGTGGGGAGGGTAACCAGGGGTGCCTTTTCTCAGTATGTTGAAAATGAGGTGCTCTTATACTTGTGAGTGCAAAGTGGAAGGCCTTTCTCACATATCTGGTTCTTGTGCCTCACTCATTTTCAAGCAAAGCTTCGCAATTTGCTACTATTTTTCCATTTGTTGCCTTGTATTTACAGCATTTATCTATTTCTACTTTTTCATCTATATAAACATTTCAAACCTGAACAAAAATCTTTAATCAAGCAAAATTATGTTATCTTCTAATTTTCTATGAAGGCAAGGACTTAACAGGAAGCTGCCCCATTTTGAAGGAAATTGGATTTTCACTATCTTAAATGTCTTTTCCTTGAACAGTATTGGGCAAGATCTTTGCCATCATGGAAAGAAGTAACCGTGCTTACCTATTAGTGACTACAGGGCATGATGGGTTTAAATCTAGCTCTTTATGCCTCACCTCCCAGCTGTTTATACAAGACACACTAATTACCTCCCTCAACATTAACATTTTCATCATATTTCTTTTTAAGGTTATGGATGGAATTGGCATCAACAACCTCTTCTTTCATTGCACTTCACTTATCAACCACCATTACAGGAAACCAGAACTTCCTTATACTGTACAGCACCTCTTTGACTCGAATGCAAATCCAGCTACTGTATTTGCAATTACTTTATAATAAAATACAGGTCTCTTATTGCCCTTACCCATATTCATTACTTAACACTTATTTTGATTCAATTCCAGCAGACATTTACCTGCTCACTCCTGAAGTTTGTCAAGATCTGTTTGTCAAGATTTGTAGGGTCCCAGTAGTACAGTTGGGTTCGTTCTCGACACACAATCAAGAATTCCGGATTCGAATCCCAGGCGGGACAGAAATGGTTGGGCACATTTCCTTTCACCTAGCAGTGAGCAGGTACTCAGGAGTTAGACAGCTTGTTGTGGGATTGCATCTTGTGGGGTCAGTAATTTGGCCTTTCGGGGGACCTCTATGAAAGCCAAAACATGTATGAATACACTCTGGCTTCCTGTTCTCCGACACAATGAATTAAGTATAGATCTTTTTGTAGCACCTTACAGTCCTCTTCAGTTCTTATTCTCCTCATTAACTTTGCATTATCTATAAACATTGACATGTATGAGCTCACTCCCTTTGCTGGGTCATTTACATAAATACAAAAACGACAATGGTCCTAGAACAAAGCCCCATGGAACACCACTTCCCATTCCTCTCAAGCTTGACATATCCTCTCTGACTATGACACCTTTGTTTTCTGTCCATCAAGTACTCTTTTGTACCCAGTCAAGTGCTTTTCCAGTTATCCCTACTTGTTCTTTATCTTGTGTATTAGTCTTTTGTGGAAAACTTTAAAAAAGCGTTTTGGTAGTCCTGAAAGATGCAGTTTACCCATCCTTCCTTCTTTAGTCTTATCTTTGTGACCTCTGACATAGAACTCAATCAAGTTTGTCAAGTATGATTTTCCCTCTTTGAAGCCGGGTTCTGGGTTCGATCCCCAGCGGAGGCGGAGACAAATGGGCAAAATGTTTCTCTCACCCTGATGCCCCTGTTATCAAGCAGTAAATAGGTACCTGGGAGTTAGACAGCTGCTACGGGCTGCTTCCTGGGGGGAGGGGGGAGGGGTGTAACAAAAAAAAAGGCCTGGTCGAGGACCGGGTCATGGGGACGCTAGGCCCCGAAATCATCTCAAGATCACCTCAAGAAGCCATGTTGTGCCTTTTATAAAATTGACTCTCCAAATGTTCTACATTCTTTTTTCTAATAACTTTCTAGAATTTTGCATGGAATACATGTTAATACACTGGTCTACATGAGCCCTCCCATCTTTACTACTCACGTGCACATTTCAGGCTTTTCCACCCCAATATTTTCCTTAAGGTGAGCTCATTGAATACAATTTGACCGCCTGCCTGTCCCCTTTTCTTAATATCTGTATGGCATTTAGTGTTTTCCAGATGTAAAAGAGCTTTGCTGTCTTCCAAATGTAGCACTGTATACCTTTGCTATTGGCAAAACAAAAGTCCCCACAAACTCTTTTAGTAGTCACAGTAATAAGTGGTCAGGTCCTACTCCCCTTGGTGCATTTAGTTCTACTTTGATGCACCTTTCCTTGATCTTCGGTAACCCCATTGTTGCTCATCACTATTTCAATCCATCTTCCATTACTCATATCTGGTCCTCACTCTGGTACAATCTTCAAGATGACCTTGTACTTCTGGACGAGTTCTGCACAGACTTCTTTGTCATCTTTGTGAAACTATTTTCTCCTTTTAATTTTAGGATAATAACTTGGTTGCTGACAATACAATGCTATCTGTTGGCCACTCAAGGTCAAGCACCACCTGTTGGCCACTCAGGGTCAAGCACCACCTGTTGGCCACTCAGGGTCAAGCACCACCTGTTGGCCACTCAGGGTCAAACACCACCTGTTGGCCACTCAGGGTCAAGCACCACCTGTTGGCCACTCAAGGTCGAGAACCACCTGTTGGCCACTCAGGGTCAAGCACTACCTGTTGGCCACTCAGGGTCAAGCACCACCTGTTGGCCACTCAAGGTCGAGAACCACCTGTTGGCCACTCAAGGTCAAGCACCACCTGTTGGCCACTCAGGGTCAAGCACCACCTGTTGGCCACTCAGGGTCAAGCACCACCTGTTGGCCATTCAAGGTCGAGAACCACCTGTTGGCCACTCAGGGTCAAGCACTACCTGTTGGCCACTCAGGGTCAAGCACCTCCTGTTGGCCACTCAAGGTCGAGCACCACCTGTTGACCACTCAAGGTCGAGCACCACCTATTGGCCATGCAAGGTCGAGCACCACCTGTTGGCTACACTCAGTGCAGAGCCATCTGTTTACTAATTATTAAATCTGAGATCAGAATTTATAAGCAATTGATCCTAGCGCTTCTTCAAAATTTAAAAATTTTAAAATAGGTAATATTTCTGGGATAGATTTTATTGTATCAACAGCTCCCTCAAAGCTGGGTAAATTCCCAAAGAAAGTAAGGCATTGGCAATTATATTTATTCAGGCATGACTATAGTAGCTACTATATCATCAGGTTGCCACTGCATGTGTCCAAAGTTATAAAGCAAGCTACCCAGCAGATCTCATCCAAACCTTGCATTTGTAACAGGTTTACTACAATTTCAAGTTGATTTATGCAGTCTATAAAGCACCATTATTCATAACTTCTGACAATCAGCCACACAAAAATGAATTCTTGACTCTTATACTTACAATATATATGCAGTATAAAATTTATTATTATTAGTTTTAAAAGGAATGGATTAAACTTATCCATATACATGTACTGAACTAGTTTATTACTTGCTTTAATTAATAATATTTACAAGTAAAAATTCTAGAAATATATAACACTTTTACAGGTGTATGCAAATTTCAAGAATTCCGTGAACCTCATATTCAAAATGCACGATTGCAGTCACTGAGCGCAAGCAAACACATAAGGTTATAAAACCATTACCTCTTGCAGTTTATCCTCTTCCTCCAGAAGTGCTTCAAGAGAGTGGGAGAATTATCAAGTTCATATTATTAAGAAAGGACAAATTTCTTCTAACTAAGCATGACTTTTGGAGAGTCGAGGAGTAATACTCTTTACAGGGAGTCAAATACTTTAAATAGCTTCTACACAAATGGTTGTTACTATCAATATATTAGTTCAAATAGTTTTCTAAGAGCTACAGTGTTCAATAAGACACTAATAATTACCAGTTATCCACAAGGCTTTTCAAGTTAGAAATGGTCACTGGACTAAAAATCTGATGCAATGAATCAAAACTGCACAAAATAATACAAGTATTTGTACAGCACGATGGCATAGTTAACTTTAATTTTACTCTTTGGTTGAGTAATGATGACCAATATTCATAATGCTAACAAGCTCTGTACCACAGGATATTAAACTCATCCCAATATTTGTTCTCATTATCTTCACAGAAAGACAAATTATAGTACTGTACCATGGTTACAGATCAGTGCTTGTAATGGCGAGTGGATTTAAACTGCTGTAGTAGCAGACCCAACACAACAAATTACTCCAGTATACTTGTGATAACAAAAGATGTTGTTTAATCAGTATAATAATGATTGTCTCACTGTAGCTCTTCACAGGATAATCAAAGATATCCAAGTCTACTACAGGAAAAAATAGGTTATAAAGGCAATAAACTCTAATACAGTATTATTTCACTGAAGCTATAGCTTGTCAAGACATAGTAACATCAGAAAATGTAATACTTACATTTATGCAGAAATGCAGAATGTTTCTGAAACTCCTGGTATGTGCTCTTAAGAGCAATAAACCCAGGGTGTTCCATCATATTGGTCTGAGCATTTGTTTGCCATGAGTGGGAGAGATACTGGGAGCGGAATCGTAGCATCAGTGAGAATACATCACGTACCAGCTTTTGAACCACAGAACCCTTCTGCGTCAGAAAACACCTGAAACAAGGAAAGGTGAAATCCCTACGTTGCTGAATCCACTGTAAAGGGCATAATCAAAGAAGACATTGTTTTTAGTTCTGTCTAAAGGAAATAGTTTAAAATGTTTCCATGAATTCTGACGGTCCTGGTATACCATGTCAGCCTGGTCCTTGGCTAGAGGGACCTGGTATACCTTGTCAGCCTGGTCCTTGGCTAGAGGGACCTGGTATACCTTGTCCCTTGTCAGCCTGGTCCTTGGCTAGAGGGACCTGGTATACCTTGTTGCCTGGCCATATCAGCTGGGGGGGGGGAGGGAGACCTGGTATTTGTGGAAAAGTATAATTGTAAATACTGTATTAGAATTTACATAACATTAGAATAAATGTTTATTTGCATATTATTGTAAATATTGTATTAGAATGTAACTTTTTTTTACAGGAGTAAAATAAATAGTTTAAAGTAAATACAGTAAATATAATAATTTATTTACATGTACAGGGTAAACAGTATAATTTTTAGATTATAACAATTATAATGTATAAAGTTATATAAAACTTTATACATTATAATATGGGGTACTCCATGGTGCCTGGGTAGACCTGATGACCAGGTCAATCCAGAACCCTAAGGTTAACCCAGCATCATTCCACCTAAAACAAATCCAAGAATATTAAGAGAAATAATAATAAATCATACCATATCCAGCATCCCAACATATGATAAAACATCCCTTCTTTGTGTCTGTCTTTGTCTATATCCCTCTCTATTTGTCCAGCCCTCCCCTCCCCCCTTCTTTCTGGGTGCTAACACCAATCGATGGCAGACACGGAATGCCCAAATACAAGGGGGTTTCCGTAGGCCATTGCTCCCTTTGCCTCTCTGTGGGGGGGCCAGGTTCTGGCTTGTGGTCCCCATTAGGCTGAACTGCAATTGACTGATGCCCCAGACTAATATATCGCATATCAGTCCGATAGCTCCAGGGAGCCAGAAGGCTCTCCACAGAAAGAAGGGTTTCACTACACTGAACTTATTTTGCTTATTTTACTTATTTTCACTTATTTTGCTTTGTGTTCCTCCACATAACCTCAAAAAACACTCCTTCCCTATCTTTACTTTTTGCATCAAAACATCTTACCTTGAGTTAATTGATGTGACAAGGGAGCTGTGAAGGTCATACAACTCATCCAAAGATGATACCTTTTTATGTAATTTTTGTTCAAACTTGCTCCAGCTGATCTGATGCACCTTAAATACAAAATACATAAAATATATGTATTGCATGTTATTTCATTACACATTTGGAACACAACTGAATGTATGATGGGATATACTGTTAAGTACGAGTCAAGAATTACTGGTACCTATTTAGAAATTTTAAAGAGTACAGTATGATTACAAATACAAAACTTTTATACAAAATACAATTTATTTGGTGACATACTGTAAGCTTGTATAAGATGGAAGTGTTGACTTACCTGACTAATTACATATGCCTGCACAACAAGGAGGAAGTGGTGCATTTCATGGCGATACAAACAAACCTGATGGTATTGTGAACATTTCAAGAAGTGCCCTTCCTTGTCTTGTCGACCTGTGAAAAACAATAAAACTTCAGCAACAGAAAATAATTGCCTTCTGAGCTAAGGCTCCTTGGTCACTGCTGCAGACAAGAGCCTATATGGTCCACCCAGGACACCACTCACCATTAGGCTCTATGAGACTTAACAGTTAGAATAATACCTTTCTTAGAATAATACATACCCTTAGTCTAATATGCTTCTCAATCTAAAAATCTGCCACTAAAATATGAGAATAATATACATACAATTACTTCTAACTTACAGAGATATGACAAATGACAGAAGAGATCATCAGCAGCCCAAATGCTGTAGTGTAGAGAGGCCAAAAAATTCCACACTCGAGAGTATGACGCTAGAGTGGCATCGTCCAAAATAAGCGTGTGAGGCCAACGTACATGGTACCTGAGCTCAAGGCAGTCTACAACACTTGCTGTGGAGAAAGTCAAGATATATAGTTACAGCAATAAATAATTGATAATTTGAGATTTAACATCATATTCATACAATACTGGAGAAACAGTTTAAAAATATGAACTATTCTTTTACACCTCATATGTTTTATGCCTTTTCTATCTTACTCACTAAACCTTTATAATCTCAAGCCAGATAAAATTATTAAGAGAAAACAGAGAGAAAAAATTGCTGTTCTGGAATTGTGTGCCTTATGAAAAAACAGTTTAGTCCCCCTTTAAGATATCACTTGACTCTCAGTCGTATCAGTGTTATAGTAAAGGGCTTCTGCTATGTAATTTAGAAGCAATAAGTTGTTTTCACTCATGTATTGGTCCAAATCTTTCTGTTGGAGGTCATCTCCAGAAATTAACTTTGCACCGACTTTGTAATTACAAACCTGCTAATGACATCCAATGTAATTCATCTTGTTTATGGTGTGAATTTTTGTGTGAACACAGTAATAATTCCCAAAGGTGTCTTTAAGACTAATTGACCAAGTAACCCTGATACTCTAATTAGACTGATGAATCAGGTCCAGAAGGATCTTAGCTGCTGTCCGGCACTCGATGAATAATAATAAATAAATGCTATTTACCAAATTCTACAATGTTGGAACCATTGGTGCAGGTTCAATGATAATACAAGGCTGTAGGACAAAGTACCAACATGACTGGGTACCACCGATGATGGCTGAGAACAGAAAAGTTCCCAAAAGAATCGGTTCCACCAATGAAAAACTTGGCCTTACTCCGATTTTAACCAATTCCGGAGTGTAATGTTACCTGCTTGATGGGGTTCTGGGAGTTCTTCTACTCCCCAAGCAAAGCTCAAGGCCAGGCTTGACTTGTGAGAGCTTGGTCCAACAGGCTGTTGCATGGAACGGTCTGCAGGCCTACATATCCACCACAGCCTAGTTGATCCGGCACTTCTTGAAAAAAACTATCTAGTTTTCTCTTGATGTCCACGGTTGTTCGGCACTATTTCTTATACTCACTGGGAGGATGTTGAACAACCGTGGACCTCTGATGTTTATACAGTGTTCTCTGATTGTGCCTATGGTACCTCTGCTCTTCACTGGTTCTATTCTGCATTTTCTTCCATATCAGTCACCCCCAGTATGTTGCTATTTTACTGTGTAGATTTGGGACATGGCCCACCAGTATTTTCCGTGTATATTATTTGACATCTCTCTCGTCTCCTTTCTAGTTAGTACATTTGGAGAGGTCTGAGACGATCCCAATAATTTAGGTGCTTTATCACGTCTATGTATGCCATATATGTTCTCTGTACTCCCTCTATTTCAGCACTCTCTCCTGCTCTGAAGGGGAAAGAGTGAGTACTGAGCAGTACCTAAGATGGGACAACACAAGTGATTTGAATAGTACAAGCATTGTGATGGGATCCCTGGATTTGAAAGTTTTTGTAATCCATCCAATCATTTTTCTGGCTGACGAAATATTTGCTTGGTTATGCTCCCTAAATGTTAGGTCTGATAGGTACCTAAACATTAGGTAATGTGTCACCTGTCCTCTTATGGTCTGTAACATTCATGTGATATAAAGGGGAAAGCTTCCAGAATACCTAAGGAAATGCTTTCTTTTTATCCTGTATAAAATATTTGAATGGAAATAAAAGACTACATAATATGGTTTGTAATACATTAAATCTTAGGATATATCCTTTTTTCTACACTGATTGACAAATACAGGTGCCATGTGCTAATTGCCCATCAAAATACAAGTATGGTACATAAAATTACAGCACCAACCTTCATTATCTTTATATGCCACATGTTAAACAAAAAATTGCCTTATTATTTTCCAAATTCTGGGCCTACTTTTTCATTTTCATTATAATCCTTCCTGATCAGCTTCTCACAACATCTTTTGTCTGTATTACAGAAATTGTATTCCTGTCACCAGTGCCATTAAAATACATCCATGTTTAATAAACAATTACCTACATGTAAAGGAGAGAAATCTATAACAATCAAACATTTTTGATTGTTATAGATTATGCATGCAAGATTGATTTGTTGAGAATAACACTGAGCATATTCACAACAAACTCATCCATTCCAGGAGAACATGAAAGAATATATTAACAGGAATGTTTCATGATCTATGAGAGGTTATCAGTTTTACATACAGCAACATGAGTTACCCTACTCATATTAATGGTAATTTGGCATTCATTTAAGCAAACTGGTGAAGTGCTCACTTGTATGTGTGAATGTAGAGGGAATGCTTTTAATAGCAAAGGAAAGATTTTCAGCTTGCTGACTCGTGGTCCAGCACGATTCAGATACTGATCTGTTGAGGATATTGTTCAGCTCAACAGGCACCAATAATGCTGCAGGGGAGCTTGTCATGTCTACCTGCAAATTAAAGAATTCATCAACCAAAGACTGGTTGCAGATATCTGAATGGGCAATTCAGTTAATGAAAGCTGCAATGTAATATTTCCCTTCAATTTGGTTAATATTGGTATATTGGAGTTTATTTCACAACACAAGTCATGGTGAAAATTTCAACCAGCACAGCCTGAGTAAAGCTCTCACCTTGCTGGAAAGATTCAAGGTTAAAGCACGAGCAAAGTGTGCATCGTGCAACAAGAGAAGCGCACGAAGAGCAGAGAGGTGGTCCAAAAGACTTTCTTGTACCAAGACTTCACTCAGGAGACTTGCATTTACCAGCCGGGTCCTGAAATTAAAATTTATATTCTATCGTTATATGAAAAATTTCAACTTATGACAACTCTCATGAATTATATAACTTGATATGTTAGTTCAGTAACCCAGCCACTCCCAGTAACCAAGATTTCTGTCCAAGTTTAGAAGAAAAAAATTTGAACTTGATTTGTGGGAAAATGAATTAATGCAAATTAGATAATAGAGTATATAACACAGAAATTTGCAAATGCTATAGAAAAATTACAATTGTATTGCAAGAAAGTCTGTGAGAAATGAAAATACAACTTATAGTTCAACAACTACCCGAGAGTTAAAAGGCAGGGTCCAAGAGCTAGACCTCCCTCCAAGCAGAGGTGAAGTACTGTACTGATAAAGAGAGACAAGAACATGCACTCATTTGAACACAGATAATACTGTATTTAATTATGAATCTATTAGCCATTTTATAAACAGATAAGTACTGTACTTATATATAAAGATTTCAAGAGAAAAAATCTTACTGTGTTGCTAGATGCATCCTGATTGAGCGCATGAAATAAATAGGTGCACATGACAGTTCACTGGCAGATGGAACAGGGGGCAATTTCTTGTTTCTTGGTTGTCTTGTGTTTGGTCTTCCATTGAGAGCGGTTCCAGTAATGTCCAGCAGCGGTTCAGAGTCTGAGAAATTTTACCATATATTAGAGTGAAGTTGAATTTTACCTTCAGGAAACATGATTTGACGGGTCACATACGAGTTGATGATCACTTGACTTTTACCCGATTTACCTGAGGGCCACTAACCCTAAAGGATCCAACTATCCACTAACCCTTGCCCTAACCCCAAAACCCTTAGACACTTCGGGGCTGGAAACGAGGGGAAAAGACCAGGAGGAGGGCACACCACACCCCAAAGGAGGAAGAAGTGGGGTGGACAGAACCACGATCGAATTAACTGACACCTCCAAATCCAAGTCCCTAAACACCAACCAGGGCAGCTCCAGCACATCCAACCGGCCACATAACCTAGGCCACTGTGAAACAGAACACCTTAAACGTAAAGCAGCCAATGCCTAAAAACCCTGAACAGCATCAAAAGGGTTTGTTAGGCAAGTAATATGCAGTGAACAAATCCCACACGACTCAGGGTCAAAGGTGTCACAAATCCAGCAGGCAGCATTGAAGAGGCAGAACCCAGATAAAAATAAGTCCCCTATTAGCAAGAAGGGAAGTCTCTATGTACAGAAAGACATAGGGAACAGAGCCTTATGGAGAGGAGAATGGGTATATGTAGGCCAACCCAGCTAACCAGAGACTGAGTAGGATGACCTTAGTGTGCCTTGGTTAGGTCGTGCACACTGCCCCGGCGGGGTGCAGTGGGAAAACCGAGGCATTGAGTACTGTACAGTACTGTGAAATACTCCTTTCTAAGTCTGCTTGCTCCTCCATCTCTTCTTATGTGGTAATTAGTGTTAACTGGATATTCTTCCAATGTCATTTCTCGCAAGACTGCCAAGGTTCAGCTCAGTGTTAAAAGTGAGCAAGCTCCTTGGTGGTGAACTGAAATTTATCTCCCCTCTACTCCCCATCTACATGCAAGACTATTTGAAATGTTCTTGTCAGCACTGGGCATAGATGTTTAGGGTCCTGCCCCTGATTTGGAAAGTAATCATGAGGCTGCTCAGAGCACAGTTTAACGACTGCACTGCGCCAAACAAATGACGTTTTGAGAGTTTTGCATTTCTTTTTTTTTTAATTAGGCTATATTTTAATGATTTCATCAGTCTTTTGTGTTTTAAAATGAACATAGTTGAGTTTGGAAACATTTTGACATTAACTTTACCTGAACATTAAAAAAACAACAAAAATATGTCCTTAACAATTGCACTATGAAGTTTTTGCCACAAACAAGTGTACAGTGAAGGGGTTAAAATACTGAACAACCTATTTATTATGATAAAATTTATAATAATACTGTAGAACATTATCTTGAATTCTCACCCATAAGTTTAAAGTTCTCCACATTGTATGGTTCAGCTTTATATAGTACTGAGTGTCTCACAGAAGACAGCAAGTCTTCAATTGGGGTCATGTCACTCATGGCTTCAGTAGGTGACAGCATAGGCTCCTGATTCTGTATGAAGTGTAGTATTTAAAATTAAATAATTTCATAATAGGCCTAAGTACTATATATACTTAAAATTTCTCTGTATTTTTACTCAAAATAACATCTGATTATTCAAGTTTAGTCGAATATGTTTCTCTTTATAACTTTATTTGATAACACACTAATTTATAAGACATTTTTATTACAGTATAGTTAAATCTAAATACTGCATGAATTAAAATAATTGCAAATAACATTATGAAAGCATTTACTACAAGCATGCAGTACAGTTAAATTAAAAGGAGATATTCACATCAAAGCAAGAAGTAAAACCGTCTTATGAACCTAACAAGAATATGGCCAAATACATCATTGTTTATTCTATTTTTCATTCAAAATAAATATTATATAGATAGATATAGATAGATATAGATAGATAGAGATAGATAGAGACAGATAGATATAGATAGAGATAGTTAGAGATAGAGATAGATATAGATAGATAGAGATATAGAGATAGAGATAGAGATATAGATATAGATAGATATAGATAGATATAGATAGATATAGATAGACATAGTATAAACAGTAAGATTTTCAGTGTATATGAGAAGCTCCTTTTTGAGCAAGCCAATTGATCTCTCTCTTAGGCAAGAGCCTTGATTTTCCTAGCTGGATTCCAGGATCAGTGTGACCATCATCCCCAAACAGCCAAGGTATTATCAAACTACCCTTGCTGAGTAATAATGTGGAGAGAGAGAGACACTGAAGAATATTGAATACAGCCCGAATGACCATCAGACAGTACATTCTTCTATAATCAAAATATATCCAAAGAATACTTGGATTAGAAGACTGATAAGTATTGTTGTGCTACTGCTATCAACTGCTAGTTAACCATATGGTTATATATACAGTATGGTTAACCAGGACCCCAAACCCAGCAAGCTGGGAAAGAACCACATCCCCTGGCTAGTAGACACACAGACCAGCTGGGAATCCACACCAATCAGTCGTCGAGGTAGGCCAGAACCCGAATACCTACGAGACAAAGACGGGAAACAAAGACGGGCCACGACGACCCTGGGTAAACACACGAATATGGGAGGTGATCACACCAAACTAATATGGCATGTGTCAGTTTGGATAGCTTCAGGGAGCCAACGGGGCTCCGAACAGAAAAGTTATTAAAAACTAAAATAAATGAAACTTACTAATGTCGCAGGCTGAAACCAAACGGGACTGAGGAGAACAACAGCTCTGGAGTAGTACAGATAACCAGAACCTGAACCTTCAGCTTTTGTGTAGGTTAGCAGGAGTAACAACCTATTACCACACTGATGACAGAGAAAAAAAAAAAAAAAAAAGAGAGACTAGGCAAGTAACATGTATCAAACCTAGGCTCCGTCCTCCAAGGCTCCCAGGCTTGAATGTTGCCACTTGTCATAGTAGAGGAAAATGCCTTCACAGATAATGGGCATTGTCTGATTATTGGCTGTCTTTACTTCACAAGCTGGTAAAGAAAGGGAGACATCAAGTCTTAAAACAAGGAATTGTGGTTTAAGGGCTGATGAATAAAGCACCAGACTATGAGTATTGAGGTGCCTAAAGATACCAGTGTAGAGCAGCTCCAGCACACAGTAAATGAACAGATGGCCTCACAAACCAAAATAGGGCTCTGGTTATAGTGTCACATTCTTAGCCAAAAATGATCAAAACAGAGGAACACAAAGGCATCATCATGGCTTGTTCTGCAAACAGTCTTGTCAAGAAGGAAATGAGGAGAAGCATAGATATGGGAGAGAGAGAGAGCAGATATAAAAATCATTACACCAAGCCAACTCATACTGGTGATGAGATGAATCATAAAGATAATGAAGAAGGATCACCTCCTGGCCCCAATTCAGGTAGTAATAGATCCAGCACAGAAACTCCAGGCACACAGAAGAGCCTTGTAGAGTCCACAATCCTTCAGCAGCTGACCTTCTGCATAAAGAGCAGTCTCAAGTAGGGAGATGAGTAGAGGCAAATTAATATAGCTACAAACCAAGGCTGGACTGGCCACATAGGAGTAAGCAAAAGAAAACTTCCCACAAAGCTCTCCAATTTCACCAACTATGCCAACATCTGGATTTGAGTTAACAAATAAATAATCTTCCAATGGTTCTAGTTGAGATGAAATGTGTCTAACACAAAGCTATCCTGTTTGGGAATAGTCAGAGTCTAATGCCACAATAGGAGATAATGAGATGACCCATTTATCAAGGAAGTGTGCATTTGGAGCACAGTTTGATTACAGATGGGCAGCAGCTTCCATGTAAACAGAGTATTTACATATACTCGAAGCAACTGCATCTCACAATACTTGACGTGAGATGGTGCCAATAATAACAACCAAGATCTTGACCAGCATGGTGGTAATCAAACACAAACCTCTCAATCCAAGCTGGAAGCATCATTGAACAACTCGGGCAATGGACTGAAGAGGCCTCCAAGGCATGGAACCCATGAAAAGCAGTAGAGGAAACATTTGATAAAGGAGAGCCCCAAGGCCAAATGATCATGACTCGTGTAATTTCAAATCCAGAAATGAGTTATCAACCAAAAAAACAGTTCAAAACCTTTTGTAAATGTGACTGCGGGTAAACCATGCAGCCAGGGTCAACACACCCATTGAGCTAATGAAGATCCAGATGAGAGGGACAACATTTCCTAGGCACCAACTAAAAACGGAAGACGACCAATTCAGGACAGCCTCTGGTATGGAGATGGAGGCTGCCCTGATGTCCATCTGTGTACACAGCCAATGCTATTACCTGGTGGCAGGCAGTAGTGGTGACCAGGTAGCCAACTAGCAATTGAAGGTTACCAGCATCAGAGAAATATTAGGTACTTTTCAAATCAAAGTTTTGCTTGGAAGAATGTTTTTAGTGTAGAGGAATGTATATCATGATAAGCCTCACGGGGCGAGATCAAGTATTCTTCAGTGTCTCTAAATTCACATCATGACCCATCAAGTGAGTTGGACAAGACCCTTGCTGCAATGGGGATGAAGGTCACACCGACACTAGCTGGAGTCTGTGGAAAGCTAGGACAGTGGGACTCTTGCCCTTTGGGAGTAACACTGAGTAGTTTAAGCTCAGAAAATAAACATGCAGCATTTTCAGCAAACCACTACATCCAAACTAATAAATGAAACATGCAAAACCTCCACTGGGTATTGTGCAGTGCTCTGATCATCATCATCTACATCAGTGTTTCATATTAAGTATCATGTCTTCTACAAGACGCTACCAAAAATCAGATAAATTAAATGACAAAATATTCAAAATGATTCCTGCATCAAGTTATCTAGTGGTTTACAGTACAGTATTTGAGTTTTAGAAAAAACAAGATCTTGAATTACAAGTACAGTATAAGTTTCAGACAAAGGAGTTCACCAAAATCAAACATCAATGCAAACACTTCATATTAAAAATGCTTAATGTTTAAAAATTCTTTATTCCGCAAAGTATTGAATAATTATACGAGAATTGAAGACCGAGTAGGGTGTGTAATAACATTTTCCTCTGAATGAAGTGGCGACCTCCCTAGAAATGTTAGAGCTACAGTCTAGCCATGCCACACAGGTCAGCCCTCAGTACATATATATAATGATCAATAATCGAGATTTATGAATGAAAATATCTTCGTGAGTTGTGTAGTCAGCATGCTTCCACTATGCCACTGTTCAATGGTTAAAATTACAAAAAAAATATTGAAAAACAAAAAATGCATCTTATTAAAACATGTAAGAATACACACGTATACAGGTACATGCATGAGTACTATGTTCATTTGTGTATAGATCCACTGTATTTGTTCATGTAAAGTGTAATTACCCAAGTGTAGTTACAGGATGAGAGCTACGCTCATGGTGTCCCATCTTCCCAGTATTCTTTTTCATATAACACTTTGAAACTACTGATGGTTTTGGCCTCCATCACCTTCTCACTTAACTTGTTCCAACCGTCTACCACTCTGATCATTCTTTGGTATCAGAGAGGGTGTGTGTGTGGTGGGGCTACATAGGCCTGTGAAATTTCTTAATTGTAGTAACAGGATGAGAGCTACTATGTTTGTGGTGTCCTGCCTTCCCTATAATATTTAACATATGACATTTTGAAGCTGTCGATATTTCTAGCAGTTCCCCATTCTCTCATTTAAATTATTCCATCCATCCACAACTCTATTCACCTAAAGAGAGTTTTATATATTTTTTGCCACCTTTGTTTTCTTAGCATGAATTTATGGCTTCTTGTTATTGAAATTTAAGGTTTAAAAAATTCCTCTGTCAACTTTGCAGATCCCTGTCATGATTTTGAATGTTGTAATCACATTGCCTTGTTTCCTTCTACCTACTAGGTATGCCATATTTAATGTCTCCTACCTCTTCTCATAGCTCTTTATTTATTTATTTCCAAAAGCTAATAAATGTCCATTTATTAACAAATCTTTACAACTTTTGTAGTTTGTTGTCGTGCTTCTTATGATAAGGGCCTGACAGCTGAGCGGACCAACGCTTCGGATTCGTAGTCCTGAGATTCAGGGTTCGATCCCCAGTGGAGGCGGAAACAAATGGGCAGTTTCTTTCACTCTGATGTACCTGTTCACCTAGCAGTAAATAGGTACCTGGTAATTAAGACAGCTGCTATATGCTGCTTCCTGAGGGTGTGTAACAAAAAAAAAAAAAAAGGCCTGGTCCAGAAATGGGCCAGGGGGATGCTAAGCCCCAAAATCATCTCAAGATAACCTAAAGATGAATACCACAAAGTTGCTGAATATTTTAATGCTGATCTCATGAATATCATGACCAATTTCTTTACCATTTTCCCATGTATGAATTGAAAAGCAATGCTGAAATTTGGAAGTGTAGCAAGCCCCTCCCACAATGCTTATGATGTAATAGTCTGTTGACAGTTTACTATCCACAGTAAACTGGTTTTCCAGTATTCTACACTATATGTATTATGTAACATTTACTTACACTGAATTCCATCTACCATGTACACACAGAAATCACAATAGCGTGATATATCAAATGAATAAATTCACAAGGGCCGTGAAGAGGATTCGAACTTACGTCCAGGATGATCCCAGATGCGCCTTAATCGACTGAGCCACGACATGATCAAAAGAACTGCAACTGGAATTGCTACTGCTCTCATGCGTATCCCGCAGTCTCTCCAAGACACAATCCGGGATTTTTTATGTTTTTTTGACCATGTCGTAGTTCAGTCAATTAAGGCACGTCTGGGATCATCCTGGACATAAGTTCAAACTCTAATCACGGCCCTTGTGGATTTATTCATTTGATATATCACGCTATTGTGATTTGTGTGTGTATTGAAGTAAGGGTAAAGAGGTAGAATAGCTTGTTGACAGAGCCTGAGTGCATGGGGGAATTGTGTAAAACCCCGGTTTGTCTCGGAGAGATTGCAAGATCTGTGTGAGAGAAGTAGCAATCCCGGTGGCAATTCTTTTGACCATGTTGTGGCTCAGTCAATTAAGGCGCGTCTGGGATCAGCCTGGACGTAAATTCGAACCCTCATCACGGCCCTTGTGGATTTATCCATCTACTGTACCACGTGTTGCTCCACTTACCTCCTTTGTCAAGTTCATTTTGAAGAGCATAACAGTCATCTAAATGTTTAACCTTCCCCAGTAACCTAGTGTAATCTGCAAACATATTCAAGTAATTCTGAATAATTCTGGCAGAGTTTGTTCATATAGACAATGAAAGTGACCAGAATTGAACTTCATGGTACTCCATTAGTAACATCTCAATTGATACATTGCCTCTAATCATTGCTTATAATTTTTTGGTGGTAAGAAATTTTTCATCTATATGAGTAGTCTACCTGTCACTCCTGCACACTCTAATTTTCAGAACACCCTCTTGTGTGAAACTCTGTCGAAACCCTTTTTTTTAGGTCCAGATAGATGCAGTCGACCCAGCTATCTCTTTCCTATAAGATCTCTGTGGCTCTACTATAAAAAACTAGTAGATTTGTTACACAGGATTTACCAGTTCAAAAGTAATATAGAATGTTACTCATCATTTCTCTCTAAGTATTCCATACATCTGGCTTTAATTATTTTCACTAATGATAGGACACTCCATTTATCAATGATGTGGGTCTATAATTTAGAGGGTCTTCTGTGTTACCATTTTTGTAGACTGGAACTGTCTTTTTCCATAAGTCTGCTAGATAAGCAGACCTATGGAAATTCCCCAATTGTAAGAATGTCTGAAAAATTATTTTGTAGCTCTGTAAGCTAATAAGCTCTGTAGCTAGTAAATGCTAAGCTCAGAGTGCAAGCTCCATTTGGCTTTACTGCTATGTTTCTTCTGAAGGAAAGCTCGGCTATCTCATACTTTAATACATTTTATGTGAAACGTGACTACAACAGTGTTACTGTATATTGTAGAGTAATTGTCTAGTTGTGTTTTTTATATAGCAAAATATCCCATTATGTAAGGTAGGTCTAAAATGTATTTACAATACTACAAAATATAAAACATAATATTTTTAAGAATTTAAAAAATTATTCATATCAGAATTTGAACATAAAATATGATTGCCAAATATTCAACTTTATTACATCTATTCATTCTCATTTTACAGATGCATAACAAAGAATTATATCATAGCGGGCACTGGTCGCCACCTACATGTCTCCAGAGTAGCTTATGAATGATGGCATCTGAAGCATGACCATGAATGCTCCTACCTCGTTCTTTCAGCACCTCTCCACCAACCTTGGCAAGTTATTGGAGGAAAGGGTTGAGCAAGTTCAAAATTTAGCCAGGATCCTTGCATTATGGAACAATCAAAGGTCAATTTCTCCACAGAATTGGGAAGTAAGTATTGAAAGAATTGTATTTATCAACTCAAAGCATTTGAATACTAAAGCTAACATACAAAAAATATTAAACATTATTTTCCTATAGATCTTATTTTGTGGTAGGGTTTTGGACCCAAAGCCCAGCTGTTAATGCATGCATCGTTTCTTGAAGCCTTCTAGTACACTTTTGATGCATTGCTATGTTTACTCCTCTTTACTCCTATATACTCAAATAATTCTTTTTGTTGTATGAACCATGTTTTGATGCTGGATGATAGAGCGACGGTCTCGCTTCATGCAGGTCGGCGTTCAATCCCCGACCGTCCAAGTGGTTGGGCACCATTCCTTCTTCCCCTGTCCCATCCCAAATCCTTATCCTGACCCCTTCCCAGTGCCATACAGTCATGATGGCTTCGCACTTTCCACCTGATAGTTCCCTTCCCTTCCTCTCAGCATCAAAACATGGTCCATACAACAAAAAGAATTATTAATTAATTGACTATGAAAGGTCTCATTGTCATTTTGACTCTGGTCGTTATTGACATGACTCCATGTTGTGTCTAGGCTTCATATTTGCCTCTTGGGGGAAAATTTATAAATGATATTAAATTACATTTCACCATGATATTTTCAACTATAACTCAAACATATCTAGATTGGTACATGGACTACTACCAGGTCATACAGGATTGGTCCATGGACTACTACCAGGTCATACAGGATTGGTCCATGGACTACTGCTAGGTCATACAGGATTGGTCCATGGACTACTGCTAGGTCATACAGGATTGGTCCATGGACTACTGCTAGGACATACAGGATTGGTCCATGGACTACTACCAGGTCATACAGGATTGGTCCATGGACTACTGCTATGTCATACAGGATTGGTCCATGGACTACTGCTAGGACATACAGGATTGGTCCATGGACTACTGCTAGGTCATACAAGATTGGTCCAGGGACTACTGCTAGGTCATACAGGATTGGTCCATGAGCCACTGCCAGGACATACAGGATTGGCACTTGAGCTACTCGCCTTCCCATGAGACATCCATAAACTACGTACAATACATTTTTTGACAAGTCCCAATTACTTCATCTCATGTTATATATTGTTCATGTCAAACAGTGAAATCTGGTATGTGAGCCTACTCAAAATATAGTGACTTCAAACTCTAAAGCTTACCCAGAGTTAAGTTTACTTTTGTGGCTTCTCACCGTTTATTTTTACACTAAACGTCATACAAGTGAAAAACTAATTGTCTACAATTAAAGTCATTACAGGACATTTCTAATACAATAAACAGAAAAGTTAAGTTTCTGTTGAAATTTGTTATATGGTCCATGGTCCATATACTTCTGTACTGAGAAATAGTGCACCTACAATAGTCCTACAAATATCTGCCTGCATGTTTATACCCCAAAGAGTTCTTTGAATGATGTACTTTCTAACTCACAGACTTACCATCTCGGTAACCTTAAAATTACATTACATGATTTCAGTACATTTGTTTATATACAGTATTACATATTATAAGACACCACTGATGGAGTCAGGATACAAAATATTAAAGCATAATAAATGTCAAAATATAAAGGTGTCAAGATTGATAGCAGTTCTAGAGATTGCAGTGAAAAAAAAGAGGAATACTCATCTTAAAATTACAAAAAGAGAAAAATCAAACTCAAGCATTGAATGTAATGAAGCATCATTGACTGGTGGGCCTTCTATAGCTCTTTTTTGCTAAGTGCTGCTCCAGCCATGCCTTTGGAAGATGCACTAGGACCCCTGAGACAACAATGAGAAAACCCCCTCCAGAAAACATAAGTGAAACAAAACAAGCAACAAAAGTTGCTTTAACATTTAAAAAACCAGCTATGAATGTAATGAAACACCATTTTCTGGGCGAGTCCTGAAGGCTCAGTTCTTGAACTGATGTGCTGGTGGTCAGTTCGGTCATCTCTGGCCTCGAGTTCAGCCCAACAGGTGGTGGGCTGCCGGGTAGCAAGCGGGAGTGCTAGTTGTATGAAGTGTTGCTTGTTTGGTGTCTTTCTTGGGGAGCTATTTTGATCTTTTAGGATGTAGATTGTACGGGTTAACCAGACAGAGGTCTGTTTTGATTCGCCTACCTTTCTGGGTCTTTCCCCGGTCGATGAGAATGATGACATACTTTAAATGTAAAGTGCTCATAGGCCACTGCTCCCTGTGCCTCTCTGAGGGGACCAGGTTCTGGTTCGTGGTCCCCGGTAGGCATAAGAACTCCTGTGACTGATGACCTCAAACTAATAAGAGTATAGCACATATCAGTTTGGATATCTTCGGAGAGCAGACGGGGCTCCCCACAGAAAACCAGTGTTGAATGTAATGATATCATTTTCTGGGCAAGCCTCAGAGGCTCCCTGAAGCTATCCAAACTAATATAGCACTATATCAGTTTGGATCGCTTCAGGTAGCCGATGGGACTTCCTCACAGAAAATTTGGTATCCAGAGATAACAAGGCAAACAATCATTTTTATGGTAAAAACACCTAAACCGTGATGCCCTTGATTGGCAGGCAAGGCCATTTGAAGCTCCAGTCAGCTTGTATCTTCATTTACTCACCTGTCACAATAGTGAGCATGGAACCTTTGGTATGGCTATTCCTGGAACATTAGTTCCACCAGGGGCCATTACTGGTGCATTATGGTTAGGGCATTAGTCCGGTGGCAATGATCATTTGCTTCAACAGTCTTTTGCTAGTATTTGGTGCTTATGCTTACTGGTGGGTGATAGGTCAGGGTGCTGTCTCAAGAACCCTGATGCATCCTTAAGGCATTGCTGGACAGTGATTAACTTGAGGAGCTACTAAGAAGGCCCTCCCAAAATCCAATACATATAATAAAAGCTTAGGATGTACTTAAAAGAAAAATACACTTTAATAATGTTTTCCCTAAACATAATAAGCAATCACTGTATATCTGATCAATGAAAGATACATGATCAAAGACAACAATTGTGATGAAAATGCAATATATTCAGTATGTATTGCTAGAAAAAGCATTTAAAAGTGTATACCAAGTCATATGGGATATGAAAGCTGGCTAACAACTGTACCATTTGTAAAATACAGATATAAATACCTATCTTGTGGCTACCTTTTGGCTACCTTGTAGCTACCTTGTGGCAGTTTTGAGGATCTTCATCCCTGTGGCCTGGTTTCTGACTAGGTCTGAGAAAAATCCTAATTGCTGTGATTTACCAAACACTTTAGCATTTGCTCTCATTTCATCTTCCAAGCACACATGAACTTACATATTCACAAGCATTTTCCCATATCTTTATTATCCTAGCAATACTCTCTAGGTTTTGCCTAACCCAATGATAATTCTCCTGAGCCTTCAAAGAAGATAAATGCAGTCTCCGTGGTGTAGTGGTAAGACACTCGCCTGGCGTTCCGCGAGCGCTATGTCATGGGTTCGTATCCTGGCCGGGGAGGATTTACTGGGCGCAATTCCTTAACTGTAGCCTCTGTTTAACGCAACAGTAAAATGTGTACTTCGATGAAAAAAAGATTCTTCGCGGCAGGGGATCGTATTCCAGGGACCATAGGATTAAGGACTTGCCCGAAACGCTACGCGTACTAGTGGCTGTACAAGAATGTAACAACTCTTGTATATATCTAAAAAAAAAAATATTTACTGAGATTTGTCAACTTACATTCAGATGCATTCGCCTTTTGCATAAACCAAAAAGTGGAGAAGGTTTACATAAACATATATCTATGATGCTTTGTTCTCCTAGAATTTTCCATTTCCTAGTAGACAGCACTGTTTGCTCACAACCAAATGGTCCCAGATTCGATTTCTAAGCAAGCATCAGGTGTAAGAAAAATGCCCAAATGTTTCAATCAGCATGGGAATTGAACCTGGTTCCATTTAGTTATTAATGACTGTGCTAGAGTATATGAACTGGCCAACTTTTCTAGGGATACAGCAGATATTATAGCCAGGATCACTATTCATACAAGAAAATTAAACTGATACCGAGCAATTGAAAGTTTTATTTAAGTGAGGACCTGAAGGAAAACTGAAGAGTGAATGAGAAAATATAAGACAACTTGTACGATCAATGTTTAATCATTAAACATTGAAAAATTGATCAATGTTTAATCATTAAACACTGATCATGTAGAAAACATGTCTAAGCATATTTTTTTTTTTTTTAGGTACATCCACCTATGCTACCAGTCTGCTTCGTTAAAAAAGTTCTTAAAGATTCGGTTGTGTACATAATAATACATAAACATACCTGGTCAATAAGAATTGGCCTCTCTTCATCTGGTGTTGTAAAAGCTGTTGAGCTGGAAGTTTGTCTCTCAAATAAAGAACAAGATTTGTAGCTGGACGTACTGGCCCCCGACACTTGTCGACTATATGTAACTACATGTTTATCTTCTGCAGCAGGACCTTCCACAGGTGGCAGTCCATATTCAATCTCCAAAACTTTTTGTTTGTTTTTCACAGCCAATGATGAAGGTACTGACTTTGATCTTAAAATATTCATGGTATTTTTACTTTCTGTGGTAGACTGGAATTCTTCTTTGAGAACCTTTTGCTTAATAGCAGCGGCCTGAGCACATCGCTCCTTGTACTGAGAAAGCACTTCATTTATATTTTGAGAAATAATATTGCCATTGCTATCATCTCCGCTCACCTTTATATCTATAGTGCTGTTCTTCCCAATTACATCTTTTGTTTCAGAAATATTATCTGCTAAAGTTATGTTTTTATTAGGGTCTTGAAAACCATTTTCTTTAACAGATGCTGGTCCTGGGAGTGGTGTATATTTTTCAGATGCTATATTGGCATTAATGTCATCAACTGTGAATGGATAACTGTCTCCCGAGTTTCCATTTTCATCCTCATCTTTAACAAGACCTGGAAAGTTGGCATTAGTATCTTGGGTTGCAGCTGTCTCTCTACCTCTGTTGCCAAAGTCTTCCTTAATGGCATTACTTGGATTTCTTTCTACTGCCAATGTTTTGCTATCTAGAACTGGCTCTCCAAAGATCCTATAAGTTGAAGAAGTCCTTATATCCTCAGTAACAAGTCTTTGAGCACTTTCAGTGATGCCACTTGCAACTCCATACTCTTTCTCAAGAAGGTTGTTCTTATTGGATGATAATTCAGCAATACTTGAAACTGGCATATAAGTTGGCCGTTTGCTTCTCTTTACATCAAAACCATCAGGTCTATTATAAAGGATAGAATCAATGGAACTTTTTCCATATACAGAAGAAAACTTGTTCTCTTGTAAATTTTTCTCAGAACTTACAGGTCTCTTGAGATCAACCTCAAAATCTGGGAGGTTTTCATCAAAAGGTGTTTCAATGAGGTCTGATGATGTACTCATCAATGATGTCGTCATGTCGGAAACTGATGACAATTCTTGAATAGGACTTTCCTTTACATCATCATTCTTTTCAATGTGACTTGTATATTCTCCAAGAAAATTTTCATTTATGTTTATTTGTTTTTGATCAAATATCCCTGATTCTATATTCTGTAAGCTTTTGGGTAAATTTCTATGATGGACATTATGCTCTAAATATGGGACACTGGGTATTGGACATTGCTCTTTAAATGGTGACACATCATCTACTATATCTACTGTACTGTGTGTATCTTCAACTGGAGTGTCTACCACCTCTTTTGACTTTTCAGCTTCTGCATCCTTTTCCTGTGGTGACCAGTCAGTGCCAAGGATATATTGCTTTCTAGCTTCACTAAGTAGACATCGTTGCACTTTCCAATGAGCAAGAGCCTCACTACGTTCTGCAACAAACATCTTTTGGTGATAATAAGATTCCATTTTGGCCCTGGAAAAAAATATATACAATGTTAATATTTAAATAATTGCAAAGAAACACACATCTTTTCACCAGGTGAGGTACACTATATGAGGAACAGGTATTTGCACAAAGAGGAGAAAATAATGTATAAAAATGTTCTTGTTGGTTCATAGTGCAGCTAACAGGACAGTGGAGAAGAATTCAATCTAGCCCAGAGTGGCCTGTGACCATCAGATGGCAATAGCCAAGCTAACACCAGGTCCCAGACCTCTAAGCCCCATCACATTTCTCCTGATATCTTCCCATGATGGTGTAGTCAGGTTCATGACCAGTTTCACTAAACTAACTTGAATTCATTCCTAAAACCTTGGTTTCATGTGCAAGGGAATAGTGCTGTCTACATCTGTAAGTTGTATATATTTTTTTAATGCATTGAGCAAGTGTACCAAGTGTTTTGAGTTTCATGACCTAACTGGATAGCAACCCAGAGTTCTCTTCTCTGTTTTGCTTGCTTGTGCTTCAACAATACTGTAACAAAACAAGCTATGCTACTCTATGTATAGTGAACAGTTGTACATCTTTTTTGTTAGCCAGAATTATTATGTGCTTCTTTATCTTTTATAATGTAAAGGAGGTGTGGGTGATGTTATACCTTCATCAGTAATGCATAGTTCTATCAGGTCTGGCTAGTAACTGGAAAGGTGACCCTGTGGTCAGTATCAACATTAGCTAGGGAGGATCTTGACTAGACAGTCATGCGGGTCAAGGTGGCTTTCTCCCAACCCTTTCAAAGTTGGAAATAGGATGAGAATGATATTTTTTTAATTTCAATGTACTGTATATACATATTAAATAAAGTTATTATAACAATTATAACAATTTTGATCATGGCTATTACATTTCCAATGTATTTACTATTATTATTATCATCATTATTATTATAATTTTATAATATCATACCTCAACTTCTCCTCCGCCTCTAGTTTCTTTGCTTCCTTCATCTCAAATTCCTGGCCAATTCTCCAATCTTCTTCCACTTCCCTCTGTTTGTCTTGCAGTTTTCTTTCTCTAGCTTTCAGCATTTCTTCTTTTAATTCATCAAACTGAGACTTTTTCTGCTCTGCTTCTTTCTGACGAACATGTTCCATCTTTCCTGAACAAAATATAAAATGACAAATGTTCATTTGTAACCATGTATAAATGGTTAAATGGTAAAATAAATAAAGCATATAAATGTTTCAGATATTTATCAATCTAATCTGAATGCAATCACCATCACCAAAAATAGGAGGATAAAAATATTTAAGTAGCAAAATGCAGTAAGGTAAACAGGAGGAACTTAACTACAGATAAAATTTTGCTCATATGACCCTTCTCAATATGATCAACATAAACGGGTGTAACGAGATACCACACACAGGTAAAGCAGAAAGTCACTAGTCAAGTGGGATGCATGTAAAGGTATTTGAGTGCTGTAAAGGTGCAGAAAATTGTGCGTTTGTAATCACTACCTACAACTTTCTGTCTATCTAAAATGAATTTAGTATGCAATGAAGGTACTCTATATTAAATGACTGTAATCAGTTCTCTTCAATGGTGTTACCAAAGATTATTTATCATGATATCACTCACAAAATTATCTTAGGTTAACATAAGTTGTAGCAGCCCCTTACACCAACTGCAAAGATCCATTACAACACCCATAGGCTTCCCAGTACATACCACTTGACAAGGTGACATCTATCTTTCCTTTCTTTAGTTACTGTCAAGTAAGTAACTTATCCCTCCTAACCAATATCATTCTCAGTACATAGATTTCTGTTCCTATGGTGTTTGGTTGATACCTGGTTGATGGGGTTCTGGGAGTTCTTCTACTCCCCAAGCCCAGCCCGAGGCCAAGCTTGACTTGAGTGTGTTTGGTCCACCAGGCTGTTGTTTGCAGCGGCCTGCAGGCCCACATACCCACCACACCCCAGTTGGTCTGGCACTCCTTACAGAAAATGATCTAGTTTTCTCTTGAAGATGTCCACAGTTGTTCCGGCAATATTTCTTATGCTTGCTGGGAGGATGTTGGACAACTGTGGACCTCTGATGTTTATACAGTGTTCTCTGACTGTGCCTATGGCACCACTGCTCTTCACTGGTTCTATTCTGCATTTTTTTTTCAAATCGTTCACTCCAATATCTTGTTATTTTACTGTGTAGATTTGGTACTTGGCCCTCCAGTATCTTCCACGTGTATGTTATTTGATATCTCTCTTGTCTTCTTTCTAGTGAGTACATTTGGAGAGCTTTGAAACGATCCCAATAATTTAATTTATTGCGTCTATGTATGCCGTATATGTTCTTTGTATTCCTTCAATTTCAGCAATCTCTCCTTGGAGTGGGTGTTTCCCACCCCACTGCTGAGGGTGTTTCCTCATCAGTCCTATATTCAAAAGTAATATGTCTAAAAAGAAAAGTATCTGATCCATGTATGCTTCTTGTACCAACTTACAGAAGAATCAAGTATTGAACTGAAATAAGAGAATTTAAAGAAGCAGAGAAATATTTATGATCAGCACAAGCATAACACAGTGCCAATAAGAGAAAGAAATGGGCAACATTTTAAAACTACAATATGAAACATCAGTATGAGAGTTAAGTAAATAATTCAGATGAAAATTGGTTTGGAAACTCTTTTAATAGATTACATAAGAAAAATTTTCATTCATTCATTCAATGCAAAGAAGTTGTGGCAACACATAGAACAGACCATTAGACTTATCATTAGGTTATTTAGCATGTGTTTTGAAGGATTTAAACTTATTACATTATTATACCTAGCTCAGTATACTGTATTAGTAAATCACACACATTAATTTTATTATTAGCATATATTTTTAAGATATTAAAATAATAATATGGTTTAAAATAGAAATTGCAGTATGATTACTAACTTTCAAACTCCGAAATAATGGCAGCTTGCTTTTCAGAGGATATCACTGTTAAGCGTTGTTTCTCCTCTATCTCTTGTTCTGCCTTCTGCTGAGCTGAGACCTAACACAGATACATTATTAGCAGGTATCAGAAATATTAATTATTACATCCATACTGTTATTACAGTTACCTCGTAGGCCACACAATCTAAATTATAGTTGGTCTATGCATTTCATAATTAATTATCACTTTAGAAAACTATCATTTGCTAATAATTAATCATTCATATACATCAGCTTCTTATACTGTTTCAATAATTATCCCAAAAATGTAAACTCAATTCACTCATTATGAATGAGTGAATTCTCATTATGAATGAGTTATACTGAAACACTGTGCATAATTAATGAACTAACCTGGTTTTGTGCTGCCAAATAAAGCATATGCGCTGCATATGCTTCACACTGATGGTGCATTTGTTCTAATTCTTCGCCTGATATGCACAGCTTCAAGCTAGGGTGTTTAGTGCTACCAGCCTGGACAAGATGATGCTGCAATAACAACAGGTACTGTTGACCTTTCATTAATTTATTAACAATTTATTAATTTATAAACAACCTTATTATTATATTAGCAGAAAAGCCTAAAAATACACTTTAGGCTTTGTCTAGGAAGAGAAAATGCAGTAGTAGGAGCTCTTAAAACAGACAATTTAAATATTAGGTTAAGATTATATACCATGTTTTCTCAAGTGATTCTTTTTCTTTCCACATGTTCTTATATATATCAGTTCCAGCAAATAACGAATGTTTTACAATACTGTACTCTGAAAGGATTTGGGATGTATTGTTGTTCAAAGACCTCACTCTTAAAATACTGTTCTTCCTGACTAGTGAACTTTCTGTTCACCTGCCAAATTCTACTTTTTCACTTCTAGTTTGGAAATTGCTTTTGTACATCTCCATTTTAACTCTAAATTCTTGACCCAAGAAATTCTTGAATAAAACTTCTCCTTCAAAAGCTATCTTGTTTCAGGCATGGGTTTTCCATCTGTAGGTATGTCAAACGTTCTGCCCTGTTGATGCTTTATATTATTGTGCTGTAAAAGCAGACATCTAGATGGCTTTAGGCTGCCGCTCTCTTTCTTAATCCTTGCACTATGGTGCCCTGAGCTCAGGCAAGTATCTCTTATTTGTTTTGCTGGGTGGTCCAGATCAGTTAGTCTCAAGTGTATACTTAGGCACATGACATTCAGAAGTGCTCTACCCTGAAAGTGTTCGTCAATGATATCTTGTTCCAATATCTGAGCTTATAGTATTTGGCTATCCAATTGCACCTAGGCATCTACTTTCTTCCCAGGATCTCCTAAGAAGAAAGGATTTGTGCATTGCGTATCCTGTGGCAGCTCTTCGACATCTCCACTTCAGGAACTACACTCTGCAGTGTGAGTTAGTTATCTTGTTCTTGATAACTATCTTGAACCCATCATGTTCTTTGTAGTTTTGTTGGTCGCTTCTGCATCAATCTTTTTGAGTGGAATAGCTTGAATATCAGGCTTTGAGTGAATATGAAAAGTTACTCTCTGAGCAGGACATTTGGATGCTCCCATATTCTCTCCCTTGAAACCATTATTTCCTTGTTCAGACTCTTTGTGCTAGTCACAATGTGATAAGACTTGAGACTAAGGACCTGCTGTTGGCAAGATTGCTGCGCACTGAGAGTAGCAGGTGAAAGCAGCCAGGTGGGAAGCTAGCAGTTTGGGTAGTTCCTTACTACATCTTATGTTATATGCATCAAAATATCCTAAGCTAAATATGATGCCATTTAATTCTGTTTATTGATAGAAATTTTAACTTACCTTCACAGAACAAAGCTTAAGTAAATTAAGAGCCTTGCCACAAGTGAAAGCTTCCTGTAGCACATCCCTGAAGAAGACAGGGATAGATGACAGATCCCGAAGAGTGTAGCCCTTTGTCCAATAGTTTCTATCCTGTCTTAGTAAAGATCTTCCATCAACATCAATCATGAATTCCTGCCCAGGATCTGAACACACTCCCTCATATATCCAGTCTTCCAAGTACCTGTGGTGTTGCCAAATAAGGAGATAATGTACTAATTGGATACCAATAAGATATTAGCCAGGCATTGGTTTAGTTGGCCTCAGTTATTCAAGAATGCACAGCTGGTGAGGAAGTACAAGGAAAGACCCCATCCTCATTGATAGTTACTCGGATTTGATTTGTGCAGATAAGTTTACATTTAGAAAAGACCTGGGTTATATACTGGTTTGGAAAGAGGATTGTTGATTTATAGAACAAATTATCAGGAAATATAAGACTTGTGATCACTGGGTTGTCTCAAGGATATACTGCAGTTGACTATACTTGGCTTTGAGCATTTACTTATTTTAATTATATTGATTGCTTAAAAATTTTAGAAAGGCTTAAAGAAGGAAAACAATAAAACTCTAGTAAAATACATAAATATAACTATAATAATTCTCTCTAGCTTACCTAAGGAAAGGTGCACAAGAATTCCTAAAGATTGATATAAGCAACAGAAGACAGGCTCGGTCCTTGGTAAGAATAACTTGGTTAAGTAGCTCGCTAAGAAGGTTAAGCCCTCTCAGCATTTCTTGGTGACACTCTTCATTTACTGATGTATGTTGTAACCTATGGCTGATGCCAATGTTCACAGCTGTACTGTCAGGCAGGAGTCTGGGTGTATTACCATTTTTATAACAGTTAGAGGTAATTTGAAACAGATGGGCAACAAACTTTATCTTCTTTAACAAATGCTGTGCTCTCTCTTGCAGCCTCGAGAGGTGAGTTTCTCCACTTAGGGTGAACACCATGCCTCTGAAATAATAAAATATATATATATATATACTGCAATGAATATTAATACCACAAAACAGGAATTGCCTAGATAGGAAATTAATGTATCTATATTATAATTAAATTTTATATTGGCAAACTGAACCAATAGTTGCATTTCTGTGTAACCTATCAATGTTTCACAGCATGTTTCCTGACATTTATAAGATTGCAAAAATTACACCAATACTGAGAACCTCAACAGAATAGATCGTGAGAAATCAGAACCATTTGGCAAGGCTGAAAGATCTGGCTATCAGACAAGTCTTGATATTATGGAACTCGACATACATATGACCATGGAGCCTCAGTTCAAAAGATCAACTCATCATGTGCATATCCACCTAAACTTCTTTACCATTTTCCCTCCTTGAGCAGCAAACATTAGTTTAAAAAATACAGTTTATGAATAGTTATTTTAAAAATATTCAAAATAATAAAATTAGGCAAAAATATTTTGAAAGTTACTCAATTTAACAAAGCAGAGGAAATTTGTAGTCATGAAGTAAACTCACCTGTAAACCTGCAGTACATTAGATATCGCCACTGTAAATGCACGGTAGACTGACCCTTGTGTTAAGAGATGCTGTGTATCAAATTTAGGAGTAACACACACAACTTCTAACCTGAAAGACAACATTTTCAATTCAAACTGTGAAAATCAAAATACAATAAGTGTGACCTTGGGTTGTGAGAGACCTGTAACCTTGTGATCATTGTGTGCAGGTTGTTAAGAATGGGATACCAGACAAGAAAAGGATAGGCTTACAACTTTTAATAATTTTTTGTTTAACTTTTGCTTTGTACATGATATAAAAGTTTTGTAGCTCGAGTCAGTACATAGGAACGTACATTAGCACCAAGATTGTAACATTTTGTTGACTTTTTTAAATATCTATTTATTGCCTATTATTATTACCGTACTTAGTTTTTGTAATTAGTTATACAAGTATTTGTAGGTATTTGTGTGTATGTTTAGTATAATATTCCTGGTGTACAGGAAGATATGTGTATATTTATAATCCAAGATTTTAAGTAATATGCAAATTGTCTGTGACATGTGAAAATATTTACGAACACACTGTATTGAATGGGGGGCAAGATTAGCTTGAGCTACCTCATCTCTTTGTATCCATTTATATTTCAATAAACTTGTTTCAATTTCAAAGTACAGTACATCATTGATTGAATTTTTGTCCTAATGAGAGTAATGATGTTGTATTATGAGTTGCTGACTCAGAATTCAGCCATGCCAGTTCTTGGAATATACAATTATTCATTAATATTATCAAATACCTTCACAATATTTTATGACAATTTACACAAAGAAAAAGATCATAAAACTAAAATACCTTCGTACAAGTGTGCCACACTCTACAAAGGGCAAGAGTGAGCCTTGAAGATGTTCGGGAGTTACACCAGGGTAGCACAGACCATCCTTCACACAAAAACTTTCAGATTCCTGGGGATAAGAAGTAGTAATACTAAATAGGTCTTGATCCGTACTGATCAGGCAAGGTATTTCCATAACCTCACATAAAATACATGAAAAGCAGTGCAATGAGAACAGGTGGTTGAATGGTAAAGATAATTATGAGAAAGGGTTAAGTCACTATGACTATATAGTACTTGGAGGAGTTGAAGGATTACAAGGGCATCCCTTTCTATATAACAATAATTTAAAATATAGTGCACTTAATCTTATATATAAACCTAATCACACAAAAAAGTAGAAAATATTTTTTATCTTAAAAATAAATAATGCACAATATTTAGACTGTATTGCATTTACTGTACTAACTTACTTCACACCAAAGGAAACTACGTGAAGGCACACCAATCATGAGATTCATAAGGTCTTGGCACAGCTCCTCCATTGATCTTACATACAGAGATGGCACATAGTGATCACCAAGACTTCCCCAGAACTCCTGGTACAACAACCAAATACTGCAAAACCACGAGAAATAGTTGTAACTTGCATTATATTATAACAAATTACTGGTGAAAAATCATGCAATACTACATTGGAGATTAATTGCAAATGTATGTGTTATTGGAGAACTCTGAACATAAAATTTGAAAGTCGATTATTATATCTGATTAACAAGTACCTTTCTGTGCTATCCCATTCTGCTGCTCAAAGTGAATTCTGCTTTGTCCATCCAACAGGCACACACAGTCAAGCAGGACAATACTTTACCAATGCCACAAAGATTTTTTTAAACTGCTCCAGAAGAGCCATAGCGGTGTCAGGGAGTCACTGGAGAAACCTTTCCAGTGCAGAATGACCAAACGCAGCCCTTTCATAACAGTCAAAGCTTTACAGAGATACCATTGGATGTCACAGCTAAGGGAACACCCTAGGTAAGTACCAGATGGCTGCTTGGATACATTGGCTAACCTCTACCTAGAGGCAGCACTACACTTCAAGTCCCCAGATTTCTGGAAGCTAGATGTGCTTAACTGCTTAGGACCTTTGTTTTCCAGCATGCAAGACATTGCTTGTATGTTGAATTGTGTGTAGATATTTTTCATAGGTCTCCGAGTACCCCTGATTACTTTCCAGCATTCTCTCTCAGTTCAGAGCCGGAAATGTAAAGCAAATGCTGTCTTGATCATCTTATACTACCCTGAGAGTAGTTTAAATTCATTGGGCAGGGATTTTAGGCATTTATTTGCTGGTGCATCAAGTAATGTTAGTTGTTCCTCTACCTCTGCATTGATGGTACAACTTGGCTTTAGTACCCAAAAGTTAATTTCTTGACCCACTGTACCAACTGCTGGTTCACTGAAGTCTGGCCTTCCTCTGTTTAAGGAAACAGTAACCGGACAACCCAACCGGATTGGATTAGAGATCATCTGGAACATAGGCATTGGCATGAGGCTTCTTCCTTGGACTGTACTCATTTGCAACAGACCTGCCTGAGAAAGTTGTTTTTTTACCTAGCCTGTAGACTTAGTCTTGGTGTTTGACATATAACAAAACACTCTTGCAGCATACAAACCTTTACTTGGTGCAGAATGGAAGGGGGCCTTTTTCAATTCTTAACTCTGAAGGTTGCCCTAATTGGCACTTTTATTCCTTATGTTAGATTTGGTTTCACCCCTCATGCTTGTGACCTTGTACTGTCCGACACTTCTCCATGTAGACTGCTTACAATACAGTACTTCTGTGTACAGTAGTTGAAGGCCTGAGGTCTGGTGGTTGTAGTTCCAAGCTTTTTCTGGACACCTATCAGTTTTTTTTTATATAGTTAATGAGCTCTTATTCATAGCTAAGGGTTAAAGGTCTTACCCATTTCCTATGACTGGCTTCTAATTGTGCCTCACCTGCTTAAAACAAAACTAGCAGGTTTCATTATTAGCCCACTATTGTTATGGTTTGGCTTTTATCATATGGGCTCTATCATTCCCATCTTTAAAGTGGCATTTGGTTGCATCCAAGATTACTCAACGGGATGCTTTCTTGAATCTAAAATCCATGCTTCCTTGTTAGCAGATGTGCATCTCTTAGCTCATTTGGCGAGTGGTAAAATTCATAAAGCCCTTAGCTAATGCTTAGGCCAATATTTTTATAAGATTATGAACATTCAAGGCCTTCTTTTCTACAATGTTTTGCAAGACATTATGGAAACAACTTCTGGAGGAAAATTACATATTTTTAAGATGATTTTGCACCCAAGTCACCAATGTGACTGAATACGCTTCTCTGACTACTGACCTACACCTGTTTATGGGCATTTATTGCAATGCTGTTATGCTCATTTCCCATTTTCCCGGTGTTATTTTCTGTGGTCTCATACTTCATTCAAGCACTGTTCTATAGCATAGTGAAGTAATTCAAGTAAATTTGTTTTCTTGCCTTCTGGGTTATTATCTTACTTTAGAACGCAGCATAATAAGATAGCCAAGAAATCAGGCTCCGAGTAATATAAAAAGTGCCTTTCTGAGCAGATAAGTATGTTGTTTCCATTCCCATCATTTAGCCCCTTAACTATCCTGTATGGCCCTTGCAGAAGATTCGTAGTGTCAGGATGGATAAGAGGGGTGTTGAGTGTGGTGCTGCTCCCTGGTAGTGGTCTGCCGAGGTTTTCAAGCAGGCCATTTGGTAGTTAATCAGGGTATTACCTTGGAAAGGCTTTAATTTTTATGAATGAGCAATTCATAAAATCAGCCATTCTGCAATTGAATAATTTTGCCAGTGACCCCCTGACATCTTTATGACTCTGCATGAACAGTTTGAAAGGGTCCCTATGGCCCCTGGTGCAGTATGTTGTCCTGTCTGACTACACAATTCTGTCGAATCGACAAAACAGAACTTAATTTAGGGGTGCAATCAAATGACATGCTCAGAAAACACTTTTCCCATTCATTGAACCCTGATTAATTCAAATGATTCTTCTGATATAACCACAATTTTTTTATAATTTAGGAAAAAAGTAATTAATTCTGAACATAATTTATGAAAAAATAAATACTTTATTGATTAGAAAACTTTCTCCAGCAAATGCAGAATACTCTAAACAAATCATAAAACTAAATTTGAATTCCAGTACTTGTGAGACGATTCTGGTCCTGCTTCAGATAAAAATAACTTCTCTTTGTTCAATGGAACATGATCCAGGGTCTCCCAGGTACGACGAGAAGTCAAGGGTGGTCCTTGAAGTACAGCTTCCCATACATCTTCAACATCATCTTCAGGGGTTTGAATGTTAGCTGCTCGAGATGATGCATATCCTTCATCACTACCAACCTATAATGCAATAACATAAGACAGAATGACTGGCAAATGCCAAACAAATATCCTATTAATGTTTAGGGATAGAGAAAGAATTAAATTGGTAGAACATTTTAATGTACAGTATCTCTAAATTCAAAATCAAATAAAGGGAGATGGCTGAAACAAGATACAGGCATACCTCAGAATAAGAGTTTAATCCGTTCCTGGAGACGCCTCGCCTTCCGAAAACTCGCATTCCGAAGTTAATTTCCCCATAAGAAATAAAGGGAAATGAATTAATCCGTTCCTGACTACCCCAAAAACCCCACATCAAACTAAATTTTTATACCTAATTCATCTAAATAAACCTACAAAACTGTGTTCCAGTTATTACTTACCTTGCTGTCGAGTGCTGTAGGCGTATGGAAGATGGTGAGGAGGAGGGGGGAGGAGGAGAGGAGTTACTGTTTGGAAGGGGAGTCCCCTTCCATAATCACATCACATAACCCCATGCCTTGTAACACTATGGATACCACTTCTCTTTCTAAATTTTTCAAACCAGCCCCTGCTTGCCTTAAACTCTTTCTTATCTGCATCACTCGTTGCAGGGGTATTCTTTAGAAGGTCTTCGTGCAACACCCTGGCTTTCTCACAAATAATGGCCTCCGAAACACTATCACCCCTCAACTCCTTGTCGTGTATCCAAATTAATAACAACTTTTCCACTTCTTCAAGTATTTGTGGTCTTTGTGCCGTTAATGTTCTTACTCCTTTTGCCACTTTAGCACCCATAATCTTATTTTTCTTCTTAAGTATAGTGCATATTGTTGATGTGGCTTTGTTGTACTGCCTACAAAGTTCAACAACACGTGTACCGTTCTCATGCTTCCGAATGATCTCTTGTTTCTCCTCTATTGTCATCCTCACATGAGCTTTCTGGCCTTTATCCTTACCACTGGCTTTCTTGGGACCCATGGTGAGATATATAATAACAAATTGTATAGACAAATCACCAAAAATCCAACAAAACACTGAAAATCCGCGAGAAGAATTGATGTGGGGGTAGTCACTGAGCGCGAGACAATAATAAACTGAGGGGCGGCGGGGCGGAGGGGCGACGATCGCCGAACCACCACGCGCTAGGTCGGCTGTACGCGTATCAACAAACTCGCGTCCAAACTCGCCTCCCGAAGTAACCATCGCCTTCCGAGACAAATTTTTGGAGTAAATACACCTCGCCTTCCGAAAACCTCGCATACAGGGACAATCGCATTCCGAGGTACCACTGTATGACTATTACATTGGGGAAATTGGTAAGATATTCCCTGTCCAGCTTATCCTGTAATACAAACAGGGAAGTTAAATGAGCATGAAGAGTGCAATGACTACTGTGTGTGTGTAATAAGTACAATTCAGAGTAATGTAATGAGTATAAGTGTCTAGAGCAGTGTAATGAATACAGGTGTCAAGGGTAGACAGTCTCTGTTTCTCTAGCTAGTGGATTATTCTTGGTATCAATAGTAACACATGTCATGACTTTACTTCAAGCCCTGTACAATTTCTGCCCAACAATTAGGTCAGAGATTGGAAAGTTGAATGAGTGAGCAAATTGGTTAATTAAATGTAAGAAACCAGTCAAGGATGTGAGACAGGAAGATAAACAGCAATCTTGCTGGAAAGTTGTGGGCAAAAGAAGAACTAGATCTACAAGGTGGAACAGTAAAATAACCATCAATACAATGATGATGATCGAGATGTCAAACCCCTTCCTTGTTTTGCAGGAAGATAATTTAAGTTGGAACACTTTAGATAAGAAATGTTTATGCATTCACAAAATAAAGAGATAGAAGGATATTGGTTGTAGTGGGATTCCCAGTATACTATATGGATAAGGCCTTCTGCTCTAGGAATAAAAGAAACAAAGTTAGGTTATGTTTTATGGGGGATAAGGTAGGTGACAATAAATGGAATGAGGAATATAGTGTTAAAAATATAATGAAACCCATTATCAGCCTCTCAGTAGATAGAAGTTATATTTTCTGGGGTAAAAGCAAGTTGTTGTTAGATAAACATAAAGCAGCAGTAGATAAAATATGATTAGAAGTAAAGGAAAAGTCCCAATCATGTGTGGTGTTATGCAAAGGTTGGGAGTGGATGTCATGAGCAACTGGCATAAACAATTAATCTAAATGCATTATGTGAATAATGCAATACCATTCATGGATAACTGGGATTCCAGCACTGGCAAGGTTGCTCTCTGATCCCCCAAGCTCCACTTTCCCTTATAATAGAGCCAAATTCTAGTCCTGGCTCCCGGTAGACTAGAGCTCATCTTAAAAGGCCTTGTGCAATTTCTTAAAGCTTGGCAGACCCCAGAGCTATAGCTACAAGAAGATACCAAGTGGCCCACCAGAATATGGCATTTCACTACTCTCAGGGCTTGATTTTGTATCCAAATATCAGGCAGTACTAGGACCAATGGCATAACTTTGTAAAGCTTGTTATAGTACATGTGCTCTCCCATTTCCACCCAAATTTTCATTTTTCATAAATAGTTAGTATCCTTCCCCTTCTCTAATATACTTCATCTAAACTAATGCTACAGCTAGACATCTTTTCTACTTAATGATAGTTCAATTAAAATAGGAATAAAAAGAAAAAACATTCCAAGTCCAGAGGACTGCCAAGCATTAGCACATAACGAAAAAAGTACATGGAGGGCAGATAGCAAACATAAAGGAAGTCTTTAAATATTACACAACCACGGAAATTAAAAGAAAAAATTTAATCCTGCAAATACCACAAGGTATCCCAACTGAAAATACCTAATTAAGATCTAAAGGAATTTTGTTCCTTAATCTTGTGAAAAATAATAAAATAGCAACTCAAATTTTCTACATTTATTTATTTAAAAAAGAATTAAGTTTTCTTACATGTAAAAGAAAGAAAAATTAGTACACAGTAATTCTTTTAACAGAGCAGTAAATGCAAAGTGAAACAACTGAAAATATAAAGAAATTAATATAACATTTTACAATTTTTAAATATATGATTGAAAGTATCATATTTACAATTATCTAACTCTTCTTTAGGTTGCTTATTATGAAACTAATCAGTATAGTGTGGAAGGATGGAAGACTTACTGCACTAGGAGATGAGGAAGGCAAAGCTTTGGGAAGATGGCTGAAGTAGCTGTACCCCTGAGCTTCACTAGGCAGGTCAGGAATGGACAGTACTGCATCTGGGGTCAATTCTTTACTTTGGTCTTGCAATAGTGCCCCTAAGACTCTGAGGAAAAATATAAATTTGAAACTAAAAACCAATCTAGCTTATTTTTCACAATGAAATACAAATTAGTAATAGATACTTGTGTGTTAATCAATGTTATAGTGCAATGTAAAACTTAGTAATTCTTTGTGATGAGCACATTTAGTTAAGAATCAAAACCCCAACATAATTTATTCTGCCATAAGGATGTTAGTATCACCCTCTATAAATTTGCATAAATTTCTCCCTTCTGGGGAGCCCTGGAGGCTCCCTGCCACGCTCCCTGCCACCCTCCCCTCCCTTCCTCCGGTCAGCAGTTTGTTATCAGTCTACGAACTGCTGGTGTTAGCACTGGGCCGCCTGGGCAGGGCCCCTTCCCCTCTCAACAAGCGGGTGTGCTGCTTGAGTGGACATTTGCTTGCTTGTTGTTTTCTCTTGGGGGAGTTCTTAGCCTCTGTTTGGTCTTGGGTTGCAATGTTTTACCAGTTGGGGCTTGTAATGGTTCGCCTACCTTTCTGGGCGATACACCCGGTCGATAGGAGACATGACTATACTACTCTCAAACAGTGGAGTGTTCATAAGCCATTGCTTCCTTCGCCTCTGAGGGAACCAAGTTCTGGCTCATGGTTCCTGGTAGGCATAAGTACTCCAGTAACTGATGCTCTAGACTAATATGGCGGATATCAGTCCGTCAGCTGCAGGGAGCCGACGAGGCTTCCCCCAGAAAACCTAATAAATCTTTTAAACAGTAAAAATGTTATAAATTTAATATGTATTGTATGCTTCAGCTAGACATTGAGGCGAGGTAAAAAAAAAAAAAAATAACCCCAACCAACCCTATCTATTTTGAGATTAATTCTATTTTTTCTACCTGTTGAATTATGATGCTGTACTTATATCAGGGTTATCTATACAGTACTGAAATTAATGTTAAGGATACTATATATTATTAGTTTTTATTCTAAATAATAGGATTTACAACTATTCCCCCGTTCTATGAAAGAGGAAATAGGGTAATGATTATACATGTTTGTACATGTATAATACCGGTCCCGGTAATAACAAGGGTCCCAGTAATAACAAAGGTCCCGGTAGTACAGTTGGGGGGTCCTTCTCGACGCACAATCGAGAATTCAGGGTTCAAATCTCGGGCGGGTCAGAAATGGTTGGGCACATTTCCTTTCACCTAATACACCTGTTCATCCAGCAGTAAGTAGGGACTCAGGAGTTAGTCAGCTTGTCGTGAGGTTGCATCCTGGGCGGGGTCAGTAATTCGACCTAGGAGGGGGGGGGAGGGGACCTTGATAAAAGCCTAACGTATATGAATACACACTGGCTTCCTGTCCCCCGACACAATGAATTATTATTATTATTATAAAAATTTAAAGCTATGCTGAAATAAAAAACAAAGCATATCTCTTTTTTAAAATATATGAAATTCATATATTGAATAGTACTGTATATCCATTAAATTGTGCTAATGAAACAAGTTAAATGACTCACTTGCCACATGTTTCACTCGGGTTTCTCCCTAGAAGCAATGGACTAACCCCTGTTCCAGGTAGTGCCTTGCTGAGATTCATCATTGCTTCAACTCCAAATGGTGAGGTATTTTCTTTATAACCCACAGCTTCAATTGATGATGACGAGAGGGAGAATATCCCAGGAGGGAAATGCATATAATGGGGTCTATATTCAGCAGACTGCAGGAATGTGTCTCCGTATTGCAGTGGGCCAGATGGTAGGTAGTTTGGCTGATTCTGAAGCAAAAAATAAAAAATCAAAGTAATGTAATTAATCAATCATGATACTCATTTCTTTTGCCCAGAGTGAGTCTAGTGTCATTTTTAGGAACACTGAGTGTCTCAGATTTCAACTTCAATCATCAATCTTACATCTCTGATATCTTGCTACTAATGAGAATCCTGAACACATGAACTTGACAATGTCTTGCTCCCAGCATGATTCCTGGACAAGGAAACAGTACAGTGCCTTACTTCTACTACAAACCCTGCACATGGGAACTGAACTTCATGTTTCCTCAACACTCTCACCTTATTTACTCATTTGTTTAAATGAAAAATAAATGGTATAAGCTAATGGTTTTGTTCTTACCTTAGTTAACCATGCTTAATTGACTTTAACCTAATGTATAGTTGAGTACTTCAAATTACAAAAATTAATCATTATAAAGTCCCCTAAATCCAAAAGAATTTAAAAATATTACATTAATCATAAATTTAAAACAAATTACTAGAAAACAAGAAAATGTTTGCTACCTTTTGCTCTAATAATGGTAAAAAAAATTCAATAAAATATATGGTGTGTACTGTATTCATAAATCTACTTTCCATGCACACTTCATGTACAATACGTTCAAACACTTGGGCTGGATGGTAGAGCAACAGTCTTGCTTCATGCAGGTCGGCATTCAGTCCCCGACCGTCCAAGTGGTTGGGCACCATTCCATTTCCCCCGTCCCATCCCTAATCCTTATTCTGATCTTTTCCAAGTGCTATAACAGTACAGTCGTAATGGCTTGGTGCTTTCCCTGATATTTAATTTCCTCCATGTACAATATGTGTCTTGGTTTAGAATGCAAAAATAAAATAATCATTATTGTAGGTTTTAGGAAGTAGGTCAAGTGATAGAGCCTCTAGGTTATTCATTCATAATTAATCAACACAAAACAATTTAACTGGCTTAATGTAAGGCAAGATAATTTTCAAGAGAAAGCATTAAGCCAATATGACTTTGGTATAGCATTTGTGCTATAAATCGGATGCATATAAATTATTTAAATTCCAAAAACATCCAAAATCCACAATTGACTAATTCCCAACCATTTTGGATACAGTATTGGATACTTACCTGTAACAAAGTAAGGGCATGTGATATACTGTAGTGGTTCTTACCTTTCCAACGTGAACAATTCTCGGAGTTAATTCAGCAAGGTCAACTTTCTTTTTAACATCTCCACCAAATCCTCTGAGGGCAACGAGGAACTTCAACACGTTCCGCACATCACTTCCTGCCTCCAAGTAACCTGGTAAAGTTTGGTTTGGTAATGTAATAAAATAACAAGTGAAATAATTAAAAGCAGAAAATATTATAGTTAATTTACTGGAAGTTTAGGGATGAAGTAAAGACAAAATATTTACAAAACATATGGAAGAAAGATAAAGTTTAAGGAAGATTATCACAGCTGAATTTCTCAGAATGTGACACAAAGTAAAACACAGTACTGTACAGTTAAGGTATGCTTGTAAAACAAATCAAATAGCATGGGATATGACAAGGATATAGTGACACATGTAGATGTGCCATGTGTGTGTCTAAAAGTAAATAATAAAGGTACAGTAATGCAGTATTTCTATTATATACTGTATTACTGTATCCTGTAGCACACTTACTAAACATTATTTATTCATAATGTACTTACAGTAATGCTCATACTTACCATAGTTCTTTAGATATTGTAAACATCTTTCCAACGAGTTGCCATCATCATATCTGCGATGGTGACGTAGCATGAAGGTTTGCCATATGATCTCTTCTACCTCAGTCAGTTTCACATTGGTATTTTGTGTTTTATAATCTGGGATAATAGAGTTGCAATTACCTGTACAGTCATAAAAGTATTTGTGTGTACGTCTGATACCATACTACTTGTGCAAAGGAGGAAATGTAGATGTTTATCTCTCAGAATGTTTGGTATTATGTTTATTGTTTGTGATGTGTGTCTATGTATGTATTAACACGATGTACTGAACGGGGTGAGAATGGCTTGAGCTACCTCATCCCTTTGTGTGTATTTTACATCAATAAATTTATTTCATTTCATTTCATTTCATTTTATTACCTGTACATAACAGCAACTATTTGAAGCACAATTCGTTGAGTATTAACAAAGAACAAATGGTATGAGTAAAATCAAATAAAGACCTAAAAGTCACATATGATTCAAGAAAGGAGCAATTTGAAGTAGAGGGGAAAAAAGATTTCTTGCAATCAATGGGAGACATATCAAGAGGCATGTTGAAACAAGTTGCTCTGAAGGTTGCTCTGTCCTAAAGACCTCAAGTTCCTATAGCTGCCAGTGATATGGAGAAATAACAGATAGCCACTGGAATTTGATTAGGAACTACATGATTTGATTTGTAGTACAACTTTTTGTTATTGTCATAAGGCTGAATGATGGTGAAACTTGTACAGTACAGTATTCCATAAAATTTAAGAATATACTGTACAATTGTATGCTATTTTTGGAAATCATGGTTAATTAGGAAAGAAAAATGATTTATGATGAATAATAAATTGTATAACAAAATGCTGCTACTTGGAAGCATGTCTAGTTCTAGCTTGTTAGTACAGTAATATATCTAATTAAATGTTGGTAGTGAAGAGAACAAATGTTACAGATGATGAGTGAGCATGAACACTATTAAGATGTTATGGATCCATTTTAGAAACAAAACAAATTATAAAGGTAGAATATTAGAAAATAATTAGTAAATAGGTATGAATATGTCGAATTGAGTGCTTACTGTAACTTCCGTAGCTAAAAGAACACTAGGATCCCATTCCTTGTAAGCAGATTCAAACAAAATGTAAAAATTTTGTCAGCCATCATAATATTTAACAGCAAACCAGAAGTGAATGATAAACTCAACCAAAACTGACCCTCATTAAGAAGAATTCAGCTTAAAACAAAAATTACTAACTGGGAGAAGCATCATGTTTTATCGTATTTAATCTGGCCCAGCTCAGCACAAAATCATGGATGCAGAAAATTCAGACCACTTAAAAAAAAAAATGCTACTCAAAAACCTATGAATTGTATCAATACTCATGGTACTGCTGTACTACATACTGAATGTTACAAAATGTTGAATCTGTTTGTCTTAACTTGAAAGATTTGTAATTCTTGACAGCTTCTTGCAAAGATCACCTACTTAGCTGCGGTTTCAAAAACATTTGAAAAAAGTCTTAATGAATCATCTCTATTCTGTCTTTAAAAGTACAGTACAGTACTGTATATGAAAGAGGCAAGTCTCATGTATTCTAATACACTCAGCATGGCTGATATCCTGATTTACTGAAGACATTAAATGGGCCTAAATATGAATTACAATGTGACTCCTGCCGGCTGCATTTTTCATACAGTTATGACGTTCCAAAATTCAATATACTAACTGAACAAACAGCTCACATACCTTTCCTGTATGACAACAAGACAGAGAAAACCAATTTTTTTAATCGTCTCTGGAGGTAAGTTTCTTTTGTCTTGTCTCGAATAATTATTCCTTTTTGACAATCCTTGCTGAAGTGTGCTACTAACTGCCTCACAAGGTATACTGTGCTCTCAACAGCAGGAGTAACTTGCGCTTGACACATGTTGGCTGCATTTCTTGGGACAGATGTTCTAGGACCATTGAGAGGAAGACCTTCCTTAACCTCACAGAGCTCTCCCAGCTCCACTACAGTATGCATTGTGCTATCCTGATGCTACGATCTGAAATTTAAAACAAAAAAATTATGCATACAATACTGTATCTGGTTACCTTAAATCTTTTTTTTAATATAATAAATATGATATTTTTTCACTTTCTAATGCTAATACATGACCTGATCTACATGAAAAATTAAGAACTAATCAGGGACATCACAATCTCACGTATAATTTACTCGGCCCAGACCATAAATGAAGTAAAAAACAAATACATACTGTAAATTAATATAGCATGTTCAAAACCCATGTGCACTGAGAGAGGTCATTAAATAAATTGAAATTAAAAATGGGGAATTTGGCAGGGACAAAATAAACTATGAATTTCCAAGCATTTCCTAGAAACAGAACTGAACTCTTAAACTCCAGAAAATGTACTGTATAAAAATATTAATGAAGAAGTACATAGAATACTGTATGTATAAAATATGTTCCTCTGAGAAAGAAAAAAAAACATGTCAAACTAAGAAAGAATATTTACCTATGACCATAAGGAAGTACAGTAGTATAGATGCCTTATTTACAAGAAAATACATACACTAAAAACTATAAAGAATCTATATTTAGCAGTGCATTCAACACAATGCAACTAGAAGACTGATAACTTCTTTATTAAGTCATCTCACACAGAAAGGACTATGTTGTATACTACAATAAACCCCACAGCCTTTGAAAATCTAAGAGAAATTGCACATTACCAAACTTCACAAGGGAGGTAGTTAAGCACTGGAAAAAAACTAGAGATGAGTCACACTAATATAACAGTACACATTAAGGCTTTGAGACGGTGCTAAAATGCCAACTTGCTAATTATACAGAAGAATGAATTATTCAATCTAGGTCAAAACAGTTTTAAAGCACAAAAACATTGTCTTTTGCAACTACTATGCCATACAGTACTTTCATCATTATGACAATTTACAAAGCCATTAAATGTAAATTAAAATGCACTTTGTTTATACAGATTTTGCAAAGGCATTTGATAGGAAAATCATGGAATGATAGCCCATAATTTGAAAGGTAAGATAATAGTAAGTAAAGTAGGTTCCACTAAGTACAACCCTTTAATTCTTTTTCTTTCTCATTCTCCTGGAAGACATAATGAGGAACACAAGCCACAGTTTAGTGTTATTCCTTAACCAGACACCAAAATAAGTATGAAAATTACCCTCAGAGGAAGATACTGAACATTTACAATCAGGTGTTCCAATGGAAAACAAAAAGTAACAGCACTCAATGGTGACAAATTTCAATTGCATACTGGACAGTACTTCCATACAGAAAAAATTACAGTAAAACCTTAATTACTGCACAAAATACAGGATGTCTTATTTCTTCAGAAAATAGAGAGCAAGTCAAAGATCTTGGAATAATAAGGTTAGAAGACCTAACATTTTGACAGCACAATAAACAAACAGTGAAACAGCTAAGAAAATGATAAGGTGGATATAATGAGAACCCTAAAAACAATGGATGCCACACCAATGATGGTACACTTCAAAGAACTGGTGCTCTCTCATATGGAATATTATTCTGTCCTCACATCCCCTTTCAAGGCAGGCAAGATGTCGGAGCTGGAAAATGTAGTGATTAAATTTTGCACATCACAAAGCACTTTAATTACCGAGACCACCTGAAACCACTGAAACTCTCCTCTTTGGAATCAAAATGAATGATAATGAATAATTTGGAGGACGTTGATCCAGACCACTTCTTCAAAAGGTCAGTTTTAACACGAACAAGGAGCAATGGTTTCAAGCTCAACAAGTCAAAATGCAGGACCGAAAACGGGGACTTCTTACCCATAAACCCACGGAACCACCTATCTGTCAAAGATGTTAATGCCAAAACGGTTCTCAATTTCGAAATCCAGCTTGACAAAATCAAGAAAAATGCGGGAGAACCTTCAACAAGCTGCCAACTTCCTGTCCTTGTCAAGGCCACTAAAGAGACAGTGGCCCATTGGTAAATTCAGGTAAAGTACATCATAAAACACATGGAAAATACAGTTAGGTCAATTCCAAACTTGCACAACATACCGCTGTGAGATATATAATTTAATTCATTTTGTTGGAGGCAGGAAACCTGTGTACAGTATACGTGTACATATATTATAGGTTTGTATTAAGAATTCCCTCACCCTAAGAGATCACATTTTTTTTTCCTACCACAGATGTGAGGGACCTGGTGTTACCACAGATGTTGGGAACCTACTAACAGTTGGGAACCTACTAACAGTAGGTTCGTTCTCAACTCGCAAATGGGAATTACAGCTTCGAATCCTGGTCAGGGCCAAAATGGCTGGGTGCTTTTCCTATCACCTAATGCATCTGTTCACCTTGCAATAAATAGATACTCATGAGTTAGTCAGCTTGTTATGAGGTTACATCCTGGGGGAGAGTCAGTAGTTCAACCTGTTTTTTTATCTAATTATATATACAAGTTCTTACATTCTTGTATAGTAAATAGCAGGCATAGCATTTTGGGCAGGTCCTTAATCTTAATTTTCCCCTGAACATGACCCGTCAAATCGTTTAACAACCAGGTACCCATTCACTGCTGGTGAACTGAGGCTACAGTTAAGGATTGGCTCCTGGTCAATCCTCCCTGGCCAGAAAACGAACCCAGGACAAAGCGTTCTCAAAATACCAAGCGAGTGTTTTACCACTACACCACGATGACCTGTCCTCAACACAATGAATTCAACTACTATTTAAACTACTGACCTTCCCATGATGTCATAACCCATACCAGTTGCCTAACTCCTGGGTACTTGATGCTAGACAAACATATGTATTAAGTGAAAGGAAAAGTGACCAATCACTTGTCCCGCCCGGGAATCTAACCCTAGATCCCCGATTATGAGTTGAAAATGAAGCTAAATGTACTATGAGACCTGCATTAGAAGTATAAAGTAAATCCAATGAAACGTTGCGGTGCGTAATTTCAATTAGAGAACACTAGAGGCTCATGATTTTTAAATTTTCTGCCTACAAATGGCATTATTATTGTTGTTGTTATTGGGTCAGGGGCAGCTACAACACTGAGCCATATATATCCTGGGCAAAAGTCTATTCCTGATCCCACGATCGTCGTCGCCCCTAAATCAACACAACAAAAGTCTATTCCTGCCTGTCGTGTTGATTTAGGGGCGACTATTCCTGCCTGGCTGCACATCTCCATCGTCTACGGTTGGTAGATGACCCATACCACCAGTGGTGTCCGGAGGATACTGTCCACCACGGTTGCCAGATACTAATTGCTGAAAGTAGCAGCTGACGGTCTAAAAGTAGCGTGTTTGTAATAAGTGTAGCCCATTTTTTTTTTTTTTTTAGTGACTGATACGGGTTTCAGAGTAATATATTTCAGTATATAGAATACACTACACGATGTTAATTGTTTTATTAATATTTCTGCACACACATACATACATATATATATATATATATATATATATATATATATATATATATATATATATATATATATATATATATATATATATATATATATATATATATATATATATATATATATATATATATGTCGTACCTAGTAGCCAGAACGCACTTTTCAGCCTACTATGCAAGGCCCGATTTGCCTAATAAGCCAGGTTTTCATGAATTAATTGTTTTTCGACTACCTAACTTAACCAAACCTAACTTTTTCGGCTACCTAACCTAACCTAACCTATAAAGATAGGTTAGGGTAGGTTAGGTAAGGTTGGTTAGGTTCGGTCATATTTGGTTCATTCGGTTTGCAGTCTCCGTGGTGTAGTGGTAAGACACTCGCCTGGCGTTCCGCGAGCGCTATGTCATGGGTTCGTATCCTGGCCGGGGAGGATTTAATGGGCGCAATTCCTTAACTGTAGCCTCTGTTTAACGC